TTGCCATCCTCTGGCCATTAAACAGTTATAGGAGGAGTACCTAGGTGGTATGGATGGGAAGGTGCTGTTGCTGAATAGCTTCAACCAGAAATACCTATATTGTACAGGGTGAGTTAGCATAACGTCCTTTTTTAAAAATGCACGCCATTCAGTTGATAGAAGATGTAGTGGAGTGCTAGTGGTCTTGTTCAAGAGGCAGGTGTATAAAGTTTTGTCCTGACACAGTTCAGTCGCCATCATGCGTTGGAACAGCGAGGAGCGTGATTTTGAAGTTGGGGCCTACTTTTTGAGCGGGTTTGGAGTGGCCGGCCCACTCTCCAGATTTGGCCTCTTGTGATTTCCTTCTATGAGGGTTTTTTGAAATCTTGTGTTTATGTGAACCATCCAAGGACCCTACAAGATTTGAAGACCCAACATCCAGGAAGAAATTGCCAACATAGAACTTGCTATTCTGGCAAGAGTTATGACAAACGCCAGAAATTGATTTACTCAGTGTATGGAGAATGGGGGACGTCGCCTACCTAATTTGATCTTCAAAACTACGTAAAACAAAACTTTAGGTATGCGCCTACATTATAAAAATAAAATAAAAATTTCTGATTCATATGAGACATGCCGCATTATCACGGGCTCTTAATGAGACATGCCGCATTATCATGTCTGCGCCCTACACCACTGGAGAAATTACACTGCTTAGCCGGTATTGCACCACCTGACATCCGCCGGGAAGTAGCAGCCAATAGTGAAAGGACCAAGGCAGAGACATCTCCGGATCATCCCCTGTTTGGGTATCAGCCAGCACATCAACGACTTAAATCAATAAATAGTTTTCTAAGATCTACAGAAACTTGCAGGAACACCTCAGCAAGTGAGAGTCCAAAAGTGGCAGGCTCAAACCCAGAACCTCAATCCATGGCTGATACCAAATGAGAGACTCCCCCCTGGGCACACAGAAGACGGGGCGACTTGGAAGGCGCTGAACAGACTGCGCTCTGGCACCACGAGATGCAGAGCCAACCTCAAGAAATGGGGCCACAAAGTGGAATCCACGACATGCGAGTGTGGAGAAGAGCAAACCACTGCCCACCTGCTGCAATGCAACCTGAGCCCTGCCACATGCACAATGGAGGACCTCCTTATGGCAACACCAGAGGCACTCCAAGTGGCCAGATACTGGTCAAAGGACATTTAATCAACTACCAAACTCACAAATTTTGTATTTTGTCTGTTTGTTTGCTTTGTTCTGTTAGAAATGTAATATAATTGGTGGTTGCCCTGACACGACAAATAAATATTAAGTTTTGAAAAAAGGAAGTTATGCTGCCTCACCCTGTATAATCACACATTCATATGAATAATTTTTATATTACCAACAGGGCTTTGGCCACTGAATTTAAATGTGTGTGGAAGAGTAAGTAAGTCTCTATTTCCAGTTGTTTTGCAGTGGAGAAGGGGAAGCACTCCATTTTATGTGAGGAGAGTGACAGAAGTGGCAATGGAGGGGAAAACAAAAGTGTGTTCTCCTTTTTTGTATGCAACACACTTTCTAAGAAATTTAATAGGACAATCGATAGGAATGAATGCTGAATTAATAATGCTTTCTTAATATGAGTGTATATTTCTGTAACTCATAAATATTAGATTTGTGACCTGGGTTGCAATTCTAGTACTTTAATGCCAGTCCTTTCAAAATCAGTGGGACTTGGCTCTGTGACTTACCTCTAAAAACATGCATCTTTATTTTACAGTTGACATTATACTAGATATAATGCCAAGTATATAGTATAATGCCAAATTTTTAACTTTGTGTTCTTTTAAAAATACATTATAACGGTACCCTCATTTTGTTTCTGACATGATAAATAAATAAAATACTTCACTGTTGGGGGTGATAGACTAGGTAAAGTATAATAAACATTTCCTTTTATCATCCCTAAAAGAAACAAAGCTGAAGCTACCATACGTAGGTTTTCTGTTCATCAGCTTAGTGTGCATTCAGGATCCAGGATCGAGAAAAACATTATGTACTTTTATTGTTTGAACAGAAAAGCTAGGCTCATTTGTACTACCGATTCAGAATACAAGTATTACTCTACTTTAACTGTTCTTTCATCCTATGGAGACCTGGGGTTCACTGTTTGGTGAAGCATTAGCCTGTGGTTTTTTTCCAGCTTCACTGCAAACACATTAAACTATAGTGTGGTACATCCCTACCTGCTGTTTGCAGATTTCTGATGGTGTTGAATGGAAAGGGTGAGTTTTCTCTTGCATCACTCTTGGGTTTCAGTGCAGCACTCTTAAAACTGACATTGTAAGTACTGCGTCTTGTCCACTGACTATTTTTGTGTTGTCAGGAAAATTGCCGAACATGTCACAACTTCTCCCCTTGCTCTCTAACAAATTGCCATGGTGGATATCTTATGCTGATAACAAGATATGCTTTGAAAGGAATCTTGGTTGTTGTGTGGTCACAGTTCTCCACAACTATAAGAATGAGTTGTGATAATGTTAATTCTAACTCACACCATTGTAATTCCCAATGGTGCCAGCCTCCTTGAGCACTCTCCCTAGTCCTGCAGAGCAGCTTTGGTAAGACTGAGGGGTAAAGGGACGCCTGCAAACATCTCTTCTGTGATGCTTGAAATGACATTCTGTTCATAGTTTGAATTCTGCTCATTAGATATGCTAGCTTAAGTAATGGGAACATTTAGAAATGCTACTTTAGCAGTGAAATGATACTTTGATTTGGTCAGTAACAATTAATTGCTATCATACCTTGTAGACCCAACATACTACTTTGCAATGAGCTGAATGCTCCTAGCAATTTCTCACATAGAGAAAATACGATTGATTCTCCTAGCTTGCATTTGAGTTTAAGTCAACCAACTTTGTACAACTTGATATGAGGTGGCTGGAAATGGTTAGAATATACTAATGGACTCAATGTTTGTCAGCCTGGGGGTGAGGATCCCTGGGGGGGGGGGTCATGATGGGGTTTCAGAGGGGTTGCCAAAGAGCATCAGAAAACATTTTTATGGTCTCAGGAACCCCTTTGGCAGAGCAAGACTGAAGATCTCTCTGCCAGTCCTCTTTTTAGAAACAGATGCCAGACTCCTCTCACAAAAGCCCTCTTCCACTGTGATTGCCTAGCCACTTAGGCAAGGGGAGGGCTGTTTCAGAGATTCCAAGTTGGGAGGGGAGAGCAGGCATGCTCAATGCATGTGCTGACGAGGGAGAGCGTGTGAGGTTGGAGGGAGGCTTACGCTAGTGAGTCCCTCCAAGGCATGGGGGTTCTGTGTGGGAAGTTTGACCCAATTCTGTTGCTGGGGTTCAGAATGCTCTGATTGTAGGTGAACTATAAATCCCAGCAACTACAACTCCCAAATGTCAAGGTCTATTTTCCCAAACTCCATCAGTGTTCACATTTGGGCATATTGAGTATTTGTGCCAAGTTTGGTCCAAATCTATCATTGTTTGAATCCACAGTGCTCTCTGGATGCAGGTGAGCTACAACTCCAAAACTCAAGGTCAATGCCCACCATACCCAGTATTTCCTGTTGGTCATGTGAGTTCTGTGTGCCAAGTTTGGTCCAATTCCATCATTGGTAGAGTTCAGAATGCTCTTTGATTGTAGGTGAACTATAAATCCTAGCAACTACAACCCCCAAAAGACAAAATCCCACCCTAAACCACCAGTATTCAGATTTGGGTATTTGTGCCAAATTTGGTCCAGTGAATAAAAATACATCTTGCACATCAGATATTTACATTACAATTCATAACATAAGCAAACGACAGTTATGAAGTAGCAATGCAAACAATGTTATGGTTGAGGATCACCACAACATGAAGAACTGTATTAAGAACTGCAGCATTAGAAAGGTTGAGAAACAATGATCTAAATGGAGTTCATGAGTTTGACAAAAACCTATGTGTGACTCTTATGACTCCGATTTAAATAACTGAATTCATGTTGCAGAATTAAAAGTATCACAAATGTCTTCACTGCTTAATAGTAATAAACATGTTCCCTAGATTAAAAAAAGCTATTGTTAGTGCAAAACAATTAAATGAAAAACTTTATTTGAAGAAAAGGAAAGGACTGATAAAATACAATTAATGGGAAAAGGGGAAAATGGGGAACCACTATATGAGGAGTACTGGGATAAATAATGAATTAAAAATAAGGCAGTTGTCTTTTGGAAGGTCAAAACCAGATAACCGATATATAAAATTTCCGCTTTGAACCTCAACTCTGCGGCTTAAAATAGAAGCCAAGGAATGTATGGCGTTCCCACTGCCAGTTAAAGCAAAAGCTCCACAAAAAACTTACTGGATCTAGATCATAGTGCTTCACTTTTGAATGTGTCTTTCCATACTTGATATTTCTATTTTATCTGAGGTGGCAGATGAAAACAGTACTGTCAATAAACAGTTGATGAAAATGTCCGACAAGTACTATACCACCTGAAATTACAAAATCCAAGTCCAAACACATTGTGTTTTGATCATCAAAACTTCCAAATGTTATGTTACCCATATTTAAAAAGCACAGGCATGTGATAACTCTGTCCTTGACAGAATTTGAGAGGTAGACAAAATAGTTGACACATGAAAGAGTTATGTCATGGCATTGTGCATCATAACTGCACATTCATACACACTCTTGTAGAGTACAGTGGAGTCTCATCCAACCTTCGCTGATCAAACCTGTATTATCCAATGCAGTCTGCCTCTTGCCCAGATCCACAGATGTTTCAATACATTACGATGTTTGGGTGCTAAATTCGTAAATACAGTAATTACTACATAATGTTAACGTGTATTAAACTGCTTTTTCTGTTGTAAAACATGTTTTCGTGCTTAACTTGTAAAAAAAAGTAACGTATTTTGACATTTAATAGGCTTTTCCTTAATCCCTCCTTATTATCCAATGTTTTCATTTATCCAACGTTCTACCGGCCCATTTATGTTGGATAAATGAGACTCTACTGTATTATCAGTATATATGTATTTTAAATGTTATGGTTTCAACAAATGGTTTCAACAAAGACAACTGAAGCCAATAAAACACATTACATTAAAAGCCCGACTTTGGAAAATTAATGTTCCAGAAAATAACTTAGCTTGGTAAATAATGACAAACATACCCTAAGTCTGGCCACTGAATTTCACTAAGGAATTCCTTTTGCAAGAACAGAAAGCCACTGCAAATATAGCCTTATGAATATATTAAATACTAGCTGTCCCCTGCTACGCATTGGTGTGGCCCAGTGTGGTGATCTCAAAAATAATGAGAAAGTGTGGGTTTCTAATATATGTCATTTCTTTATGCTTGTGAGTAAACAGTACTTCTTGTTTCTTTGTCAGTGTTGTAGAGGTTGTCTGGTGTGCCCACTCTGGAACATGGAACATATTATTGTGCTTCTTTAGGGGTCCCTTTCAAATCTATGATGTTCTATCTGTCATATATATATGTGTGTGTGTGTGTGTGTGTGTATGTGAGTGAATCATATATATCTACGGCTGGGTGGCTCCTTGTTAGGAGGGCTTTGATTATGTTTTCTTGCCCTGGTGAAGGGAGTTGGACTAGATGGCCTTCAAGAAGTATTTCTCAACCTGGGGGTTGGGACTCCTGGGAGAGGGTTGTGAGGGAGTGTCAGAAGGGTCACCAAAGACCACCAGAAAACACAGTATTTTCTGTTAGTCATGGGGGTCTGTGTGGCAAGTTTGGTTCAATTCTATCGTTGGTGGGGTTCAGAATGCTCCGATTGTAGGTTAACTATAAATCCCAGCAACTACAACTCCCAGATGTCAAGGTCTGTTTTCCCCAAACTCCATCTGTGTTCACATTTGGGCATATGGAGTATTTGTGCCAAGTTTGGTCAAGATCCATCATTGTTTGAGTTCACAGTACTCTCCAGATGTAGGTGAACTACAACTCCCAAATTCAAGGTCAATGCCCACTAAACCATTCCAGAATTTTATGTTGGTTGTGGGAGTCCTGTGTGCCAAGTTTGGTTCAATTCCATCGTTGGTGGGGTTCAGAATGCTCTTTGATTGTAGGTGAACTGTAAATCCCAGCAACTACAACTTTCAAAAGACAAAATCCACGTTTCTTGAGTGATGGACACTCCTTGGGGTAGCAGGTGTATCGTGTCCAAATTTGATGGCAATTCGTCCAGTGGCTTTTGAGTTATGTTAATCCCACAAACAAACATTACATTTTTATTTATATAGATTGGTTACTTGGACTTCTTTTCTGATTCTGGAATGCCTTTCTTAAAATGTATATGTCAAGTATGCAGCAACTTGGCAGGAATGGGGTGTTTTTAACTCAGTGCTCCAATACTTTGCTGTAAGATAGGTTCAGTATCAAATAACTCTTTGGTCCTTTATAAAATCCACAATATATCATGTATTTTGCTTGTAAAAAGCATTTGGAAGAACCTCTTCCACTTAAATATTCAGTTGCTCATCATGAAATACTTATTCTCAAATTCTTGGAAGATGGCGGATCTTCAGTGCATAGTTATGAAACTCTGGTTATATGTTTGAGTTTGGTAGAGTCTTTTGTGTTGTTTTGACTGTCAATGAGAACAAGAGAAAACCGTTGATGATTCTCGATGATTTCTGCCACACTGTCGAAGCGCTACATTGAGAGAGAAAAAAGGTTCAAGGTGACTTATACTTGCAAACACAAGTCCTACTTTTTTCAGCCAACTAATACAATTGAATCTGCACTTTTTGTCAATGTGCAAGTCCATGAGAAAATATACATCTGAAAATATAAAAGTCCCCATTGGTGATGTATATCTCTATTGATGTGTGGTATATCTCTATTGAGGATGCCACTGACATATAGTTTTCTGCCAAAATATTTTATCCTTCTCCCACACCTTATATGGAGGTGTACTTAAACATTAGGTTTGGATGTAATACATTGATGTTACAACAAATACATAACTGCCGACTGTGTATCAAGTAACATGACTTTGAACCGAGAGAGAAAGAAATCAATTAAACTTCTTTTCCTTGGCAGTCTGTAATTTCTATGGAATTTGTTTGCATTGACCTATTCAAATGTGGATGAAAGGATCTCAGGTGTTCTTTTCACTCTGGAAGTAGTGTTGGCTTGCCCAGAAAACTTAACAAAAGATCTGGCATAACCACATTTCTGAAGTATAGTTTCTTTGTCACTGCTGTTCATCTAATGTTCAGATTTTTGCAAAATGTATTTTTAAGCAGTGCCATTTTCTATTGGAAGTTGTAAAGTTTAAAAAGAAATTCAATTACACTACAATGATGAAGTATGAAAACATTTTGATCGAAAATGACTGAAAACAAGGCTTGCTCAAAGGACTTTTGCATTTGCTTTCCTCTGAGGCTCCTGAGGCTCCTCTACACTGCCATATATGCAGATGGGTCAAAAAGTAATGCCTCCATCACTCTCTTTTATTTCTTTGGGTTGTTGTAGGTTTTTCGGGCTATATGGCCATGTTATAGAAGCATTCTCTCCTGACGTTTTGCCTGCATCTATGGCAAGCATCCTCAGACCTTACAACCTCTGAGGATGCTTGCCATAGATGCAGGCAAAACGTCAGGAAAGAATGCTTCTATAACGTGGCTATATAGCCCGAAAAACCTACAGCAACCCAGTGATTCCAGCCATGAAAGCCTTCGACAATTTTATTTCTTTTTCAGCTCCTGGACTATCTATGCATGATATGACAGAGGTAACCTTACTCTACTGGTTTTAATATGGAATGATTTAAAATGTATAATATGTATTAATTTTAACTTAATTTTTTGGAATTGTATGTGTTTCAAGGTATTGAATAATTGCCTCTACGTAAGCCGCCTTGAGTCCCCTTCAGGGTAAAGAAAGGTGAGGTATAAATAGGGTAAACAAACAAACAAACAAACAATATAATATTTTCTTATTATGATTGACTGATTAGAACCATGCATCTGAAGTTGAAAGAAAGAGTTGTCACTGAATTTCTGGCAAAAGAAGGTTTTGTGCACCTAAGGAAATCCATAATCGCTTGAAGGATGTTTAAGATTTGGCCCCTTCTGAAACATGTCGCCGGGGGGGGGGGGGGGGAGCTTGAGGGGCTTCAGCCCCCCCCCCAAATTCTCATGGTGGTCCGCGAGAAGGCCTTACTGGTACATTATTTAAACTGTTATGTTTATTCATATCATGATCTGATCACCATGCTCAATATATCCCATATGCATGGAGGTATTGGGGTAACGATACAAAAGGTTTGCTAGGGTAGACCCTCTTTCACTCAGACTCAGCCCCCCCCCGAATCAAACTCAGCCCTCCCCGAATCAAAATCCTCGCGATGGGCCTGTCCTACGTGGTTTCAAATTCAAGAACTTCAATGACATTAAAACTGCTTTAAAATCATGGGTCATGAAGCAAAACCCTAAATTTTTCCAATATGGTTTTGATGGCTGGGTTAAACGATGGCGCACATGTGTACAAATTGAGGGCAACTATGTTGAATGACAGTTTTGAGTAGAGGACATTTCAGTCTATGATCTGTAGCAACTTCTGCTGTTATATGTTTGTTCATAACATTTTTATGACACAAGAGGCAAAACATTTTGACCCACCCTCGTATAGTCCAGTTCAAGGCAGATTGATTTTATACACTAGTACACAAGGGGCCTAAGACTGTCAAAAGTGGAAATTTAAGTGGGTGGGTTTCCATGACCAAAAAGGGATTTGAATTCTGTCCTTCAGAACTGTAGTACAACACTTAGACCACTATACTACACTGGCTTCATATTTTGGATTGTGTCTCAGTAAACAAATACACCCTCACTATTTGGCCATTTTGCTTTCCATCCCATTGAACAAAATGAGTATTTCTCAGCACTTATACATAGGTAAAGGTAGTAAGGTAAAGGTTGTCTCCTGACATTAAGTCTAGTTGTGTCCAACTCTGTGGGTTGGTGCTCATCTTCATTACTAAGCCAAAGAGCTGATGTTGTCCATAGATACCTCCAAGGTCATGTGGCCAGCATGACTGAATGGAGATACATAAGTATCTTTAAAATCCATTGTATCACAATCGCAGAGTTGGAAAAGACCACAAGGATCATCCAGTCCAACCCCCTGCCAGACAGAAAAAGCACAATCAAAGCACCCCCTGACAGATGGGCATCTGGCATCTGTTTAGAAGCCTCCGAAGAAGAAACTTCAACTACTCTCTTAAGGCAGTAAGTGCCAATAGTACAAAGGCTGTCTCCATGTAACAAATATATGAAGGATCATATGTTAGGCATTTAGTTAATAACTAATGGTCCCTGCATAATGGTTGGATCCACAATTATTTACACTTGCGATAGACTCATTACAACCAGTGGAACCAGTATTAATTGAGATAAATCTGGACTGAAGCCAATACACTTCTTGTACTCTAAAATACCCTCCAGGCTTTAAAGAGGCTAGCTTACTGAATATCATTTTTTTTGTTGTGTCAGGAGTGACTTGAGAAACTACAAGTTGCTTCTGGTGTGAGAGAATTGGATGTTGCGCAGGGGAACCCTGGATGTTTTTTACTATCCTTGTGGGAGGCTTCTCTCATGTCCCCACATGAGGAGCTGGAGCTGATAGAGGGAGCTCATCCACGCTCTCCCCAGACCTGTGACCTGTCGTCTTCAGTCCTGCCAGCAAAGGGGTTTAACCCCCTGTGCCACTGGGGGCTCCATACTGAATATTAATAACTATTATTCATAACCAATTATTCATTTATCCAAGTGAAAGGATCTTTTGCAAATCTAAAGAGAGAAGCATTTGTGGAAGGAAGAAAAAAAAATCATAACTTAATTAAATGCAAAAGAGAAACCTCCAATTCCTACTCGCATAACCATTATTCATAACCATTACTGTTGACACAATTTATTAAAATATTAAGCATATTTATAATACTTTTTGGACTGATTTTTTTTTTTAGGAAAACTATGTTGTTGTTGTTCATTCGTTCAGTCGTCTCCGACTCTTCGTGACCTCAAGGACCAGCCCACGCCAGAGCTCCCTGTCGGCCGTTACCACCCCCAGCTCCCTCAAGGTCAGTCCAGTCACTTCAAGGATGCCATCCATCCATCTTGCCCTTGGTCGGCCCCTCTTCCTTTTACCTTCCACTTTCCCCAGCATAATTGTCTTCTCTAGGCTTTCCTGTCTCCTCATGATGTGGCCAAAGTACTTCAACTTTGTCTCTAGTATCCTTCCCTCCAGTGAGCAGTCGGGCTTTATTTCCTGGAGGATGGACTGGTTGGATCTTCTCGCAGTCCAAGGCACTCTCAGAACTTTCCTCCAACACCACAGTTCAAAAGCACCGATCTTCCTTCGCTCAGCCTTCCCTAAGGTCCAGCTCTCACATCCGTAGGTTACTACAGGGAATACCATGGCTTTGACTAGGCGGATCTTTGTTGCCAGTCTGATGTCTCTACTCTTTACTATTTTATCGAGATTGGACATTGCTCTCCTCCCAAGAAGTAAGCGTCTTCTGATTTCCTGGCTACAGTCTGCATCTGCAGTAATCTTTGCACCTAGAAATACAAAGTCTGTCACGGCCTCCACGGTTTCTCCCTCTATTTTCCAGTTGTCAATCATTCTTGAGCCAGTTTTATGAAGATAATTGTGAATAGGATTCAAACAGTCATTGGGCAGAATACAAATAGTGTTCCCATTTAAATGCCAAGGGGCTGCAGAAGAGTTCATACTGTACTACGAAAAGTAATTTCCAAAGCAGTTACTGTGTTCTTAGGAAAGAGCCTCTCCAAGCAGAAGAACCGCTTTGGGTTTTGTTTCCTTTCTTGTACAGTCTGAAATGTAAAACAACTCTTCTGTAAGCATTAGAGCCCCTTAGATCCAACTGCTCAGATAAATATTAGACATTGAGATATGCCTCTGAGTGGGAATTGGAGGATTCTGTCTTGCATTTAATTAAGTTACGATTTTTTCTTCCTTCCACAAATGCTTCTCCCTTTAGATTTGCAAAAGATCCCTTCCCTTGGATAAATGATGTTGCTTGGTGTGGATTACATTTCACTGCCTTCATAGATAACTACAATTATGAGCTCCCAATGGAGTTGTTTAATGAAGAATAGATAGGGGGCTTGGCTGTTAAGGAGGACCGTAAATTGCATCCACATTTTAATTAGGTCTCACTTGGCCTGAAACACCTAATTTTCTATTTAGTTCCAAGTGCAATGGTTTCAAGTCACCTGTTTTTATGAGATGTCTTTATCAATCCTCATGCCTGCAGGCGGTGTAACTAAAATTCCCACTTATGTGTTAAGGTTTGAAACAAAGAAGACATTACCCACCTCCTCGCCGCTTTTTTCTCTGCCCAAAGCATATTGTCTTGTTGATTCAATAAATCGGATTGGGATGTTATATACTCTCTTATTGTAGAACACAACTAGTGTATATGGTTGCTTTGAATCTTGTCCAGAACTCTTCCTGACCAGGAAAGATCCATCCTTTAAAAAGAGTATAAAAATGCAAATGCCCATTAGGGTTAATGATATTTCAAGTTAATTTCCTCTCATTGTTTTTCCCACGGATTTGATGACAGAGGGGAAAGGTTTAAATACTGTGTAACACAGTATTCAGTTATAGAATCATAGAGTTGGAAGAGACCTCATGGGCCATCCAGTCCAACCCCCTGCCAAGAAGCAGGAAAATCACATTCAAACCACCCCCAACAGATGACCATCCAGCTTCTGTTTAAAAGCCTCCAAAGAAGGAGCCTCTACTACAGTCCGTGGCAGAGAGTTCCACTGCTGAACAGCTCTCAGTCGATAAATTCTTCCTAATGTTCAGGTGGAATCTCCTTTCCTATAGTTTGAAGCCATTGTTCTGTGTCCTAGTCTCCAGGGCAGCAGAAAACAAGCTTGCTCCCTCCTCCCTATGACTGTCTCTTACATATTTACACATGGCCATCATGTCTCCTCTCAGCTTTCTCTTCTTCAGGTTAAACATGCCCAGCTCTTTAAGCCGCTCCTCATAGGGCTTGTTCTCCAGACCCTTGATCATTTTAGTTGTCCTCCTCTGAACACATTCTAGCTTGTCAACATCTCCTTTCAATTGCGGTGACCAGCTTGAAGCCATTGTTCCGCTTCCTAGTCTCCAGGGCAGCAGAAAACAAGCTTGCTTCCTCCTCCCTATGACTTCCTCTTACATATTTACACATGGCTATCATGTCTCCTCTCAGGCTAAACATGCCCAGCTCTTTAAGCCGCTCCTCATAGGGCTTGTTGGCCACAGCCTTGATCATTTTAGTGGCCTACCTCTGGACACATTCAAGCTTGTCAACATCTCCCTTCAGTTGTGGTGCCCAGAATTGGACACATTCCAAGTGTGGTCTAACCAAAGCGGAATAGAGGGGTAGCATGACTTCCCTGGATCTAGGCACTAGACTCCTATTTATGCAAGCCAAAATCCCATTGGCTTTTTTTGCCGCCGCATCACATTGTTGGCTCATGTTTAACTTGTCCACGAGGACTCAAAGATCTTTTTCACACGTAGTGCTCTCGAGCCAGGCATCCCCCATTTTGTATCTTTGCATTTCATTTTTTCTGCCTAAGTGGAGTATCTTGCATTTGTCTTTGTTGAAATTCATTTTGTTAATTTAGGCCCATCTATATATATTATATATAACAGTATTCAGTTCTGCTTTTGCAGTCACCTGTTGCTGCCTTCTGTCTTTGGTTTGTTTCCAAAAATTGAGCTGTATTCACTTTATGTTTTTATAAAGGAGTATAATATAGGTGATGTGTAGTCAGGATGTATTTTTACCTTGTTTGATTTGTATAATGCATCTTCAGCTGTTTTTCGATCGCTGGAAGCCATATACCAAGTTTTCCCATAAACACTACCATCCTGTGAAAAAGAAATACATTAAAATGTCCTTTATAATGCCTTGGCAAAAAAATATCAAAAAAAATATCAATTTTACAAAAAATACAATTTCACTATAACAAAACCTGAAAAAAAATCTGTTCCTGGTTTGAAAGTGTTGCTCCTGTTTAATTGTGCGGTCCTTACTTTGAAAATAGCTGTTCTACTCCAGAAACTGCATTTTTGTGGTGGCCACAAACTGTGTTGAATTGTTTGAGAATCTGTCAGATATTAATTGAAAAACTACAGGAAAATGTGCTTCAGGATGTCCCACAAAAACAGAGTTTTCCAAGTTGTGATAAAACCAATTAAGAAAGGACATTTATAACCCAGGAACAAAATTTGTGTTACACAGTGTAATCTTGGAAGCAAATTAAAAATGCTAACCTACTATGTGTGTAGGTTTGACTTGAAAAATATGTACTATAAGTATGTTTAGCTTTTATGTTATACTAGCCATCACCTGCCACGCGTTGCTGTGGCCCGCTCTGTGTATATGTGTTTTGTGTGTGTATATATGTGTGTATATATATTTGTGTATATGTGTATATATGTGGTTTTGCGCATGCATTTTTTTTTTGCTTTTTAAGTCTCTTCCGCTGTGTTTTTCAGTGTTTTTAAGGAATGATCATTACTCGTTGGCCTGATAGGTGTCTTATGTCCAAATTGGGTATCAATTCATCCAGTGGGTTTTGAGTTATGTTAATCCCACAAACGTACATTACATTTTCTATTTACATAGATAGATATGGAAATTGTTGAAGAACTTCACAAGTAATGTGTGAGATAGGTCTTCTACTTTGGAAGGCTCTTGACACATAGTATTTTTTACTCAATCTTCAATGAGTGATTAAATAAATTGTGTCAGGAGTGACTTGGGAAACTACAAGTCACTTCTGGTGTGAGAGAATTGGCCGTCTTCAAGGACATTGCCCAGTGGATGCCTGGATGTTTTGAGGTTTACCATCCTTGGAGGCTTCTCTCATGTCTCTACATGGGGAGCTGTAGCTGACAGTTGGAGCTCACAGTATTTTTTTCTCAGTGTTCAATGAGTGATTTTTTTCATGTCAACAGTGACTTGGGAAACTACAAGTCACTTCTGGTGTGAGAGAATTGGCCGTCTTCAAGGACATTGCCCAGTGGATGCCTGGATGTTTTGAGGTTTACCATCCTTGGGGACTTCTCTCATGTCTCTGCATGGGGAGCTGTAGCTGGCAGAGGGAGCTCATAGTATTTTTTTTACTCAATGTTCAATGAGTGATTTTTTTTTCATGTCAGTAGTGACTTGGGAAACTGCAAGTCACCTCTGGTGTGAGAGTATTGGCCGTCTGCAAGGACATTGCCCAGGGGACGCCCGGATGTTTTGATGTTTTACCATCCTTGTGGGAGGTTTCTCTCATGTCCCTGTGTGGGGAGATGGGGCTGACAGAGGGAGCTCATTCGCACTCTCCCCAGATTCGAACTTTCGACCTGTTGGTCATCAGTCCTTCTGTCACAAGAGTTTAACCATTGCGCCAATGAGTGAATGGGTTTAAAAATGCTGAAGACTTAGCTTCATATAAAAGAAAGAAATAAAGAAGTTGTTTTCCCATCCTTCTCTCATTCAGGGTTCTTGATTTATTACATACATCGCTCAAGCATTTTGTTGATGACTGACATTTTATGGGTGACATTTTATGAGTGACATTTTATGAGGAAGCATTTAATTTTGGTGAAACTTTAGGGAAGAGATCCTCAAACTATGGCCCAGGGGCCGGATGCGGCCCTCCAAGATCATTGACCCGGCCCTCGCTCAGGGTCAAAGTCAACAACAACTTGAAAGCACACAACAACAATCATATCTCATCAGCCAAAAGCAGGCCCACAATTCCCATTGAAATACTAATAATTTTATATTTGTTGAAATTGTTTTTTATTTTAATTATTGTATTGTTTTTAAGTATTTTTTGCACGACAAATGAGATATGTGCTGTGTGCATAGGAATTCATTCATGGTTTTTTTCAAATTATAATCCGGCCCTCCAACAGTTTGAGGGACTGTGACCTGGCCCTCTGTTTAAAAAGTTTAGGGGGACCTATTTTTAAATGTTTAAAAACCTCCTTAATAATGGGTTGTTGTGAGTTTTCCAGGTCACAGTCCCTCAAACTGTTGGAGGGCCGGATTATAATGGCCATATTATAATTATAATTATAATATGGCCATATTCCAGAAGCATTCTCTCCTGGTGTTTTGCCAACATCTATGGGTGAAACGCCAGGAGAGAATGCTTCTGGAACATGGCCATATAGCCCAGAAAACTCACAGCAACCCAGTGATTCTGGTCACGAAAGCCTTCGACAACACACCTAAATAATATCATACCTGTTCTGCTGTTGTAAAACTACCGTTGCGTGGTGCATCAAAGGTGCGACTTGCTGGTTCTGATGATCCTTAAAAAGATACAAAATAATATATAAACTTCCATTCTGGAGAAAGCAGTGGTTGTGATGGAAAATCACAGCTGTATCTCTTTATTTGTTATTGGCTTTACAAAAGACTAGCAATTTCCTACCACTTTAGTGGTAAAAACATGATTAGGGGACTTTTTTGTTTTCAATACAGAGAGCTATGGCCTCAATAGAATTGCTAATGAAGGTTCTGCCCAGGTGAAGGTACACAGCTTTTAAAACAATCCTAGTTCATGTTAAATGGGAGCGTACTTACTTGGCAATGTTGGTGGCTTCTGCGGCAGCGGCCTGAAAAAAAAAGAATTGGAATTTAAAGAAAAGCTGAATTATATTACAGAATGCTTGAAATGTACGGTGTGTATTTTGTATCAACACAACACTCAGTTTTTTTTAAAGAAAATACAACACATGCACAAAACTACATATATACACAAATATATACACACATGCATATATACACAAAACACACACACACATATATATAGACTGGGCCACAGCAACGCGTGGCAGGGGATGGCTAGTCTATATAAATAAAAATGTAATGTTTGTTTGTGGGATTAACATAACTCAAAAACCACTGGACGAATTGCTGCCAAATTTGGCCACAAGACATCTATTAACCCAAGGAGTGACCATCACTCAAAAAATTGATTTTGCCATTTGTGAGTTGTAGTTGCTGGGATTTATAATTCACCCACAATCAAAGAGCATTCTGAACTCCACCAATGATGGAATTGAACCAAATGTGGCACACAGGACTCTCATGAGGAACAGAAAACACTAGAAGGGTTTGGTGGGCATTGACCTTTAGTTTGGGAGTTGTAGTTCACCCACATCCAGAGAGCACTGTGGACTCAAACAATGATGGATCTGGACCAAACTTGGCACAACTATTCCAGATGCCCAAATATGAACACAGATGGAGTTTGGGGAAAACAGACCTTGACATCTGGGAGTTGTAGTTGCTGGGATTTATAGTTAACCTACAATCAGAGCATTCTGAACCCCACCAACGATAGAATTGAACCAAACTTGCCACACAGACCCCCATGACTAACAGAAAATACTTAAGGCCATCCAGTCCAGCTCCCGTCACCACGGCAAGAAAACGTAATCAAAGCCCTCCTGACAAAGAGCCATCCAGTCATAGATATAGATAGATAGATATGATTCACAAATATACACACAGATATAGTATCATAGATTTGAAAGGGACCCCTAAAGAAGGACAATTATATGTTTGTACTGGAACAGCTGTTCCAGGAGCTCAAATTTTGTGCTTTGCACTGAGTGTTTGTTTATAGTTCTAAGTTTCAGGGACTCTGCAGATAGGTGGCTTCTTTTGGCTGCATTCATAGGGCAAACCACCTGTCAATTATCATTGGGTTCCCTGGTTCCGCCCCCTTTCTAGGCTTTGGAGGGAAGGGAGCCTTTTCCAGTCAGTCACAGCAAGGTTAGCCAATGTTTAGGATGTGTTTACTTCCCCTGTACAAAGGCTTCAACCTTTAAGAGCTCCAGGGAATGAACTCCAGGGAAGCATTCTCCCAGCTTTAAGAGTCTCCTCAGAACTCCAGGGTTTCCTTTCTACAGCCTTGGGAGTTTCCAGGAAGACAGCCTTAAACTCTAAAGAACATCCATTGCCTGTCTGGTAGGTCCTCTCAGTGTTTCGAGAAGCAGTTCGGCCTGGCAGAGGAGCCCACACCAGTGAGGGTTGGATTTTAGTTAGTCTTGGGAGAAGTTAAAAAAGGGGAATTTTCCTTTGAAGAAAGTTATTGAAGATAGTGCCTGTTCCCTGTGGACAAGTTTGCGAGAACTGATACTTTACCAAGAAAGCTTTACAATTCCTGTTTGATTCATTAATAAAAGACTTTGTTGTACCTTTTAAGCCATTTGAAGATTCCTTTTGTAAAGGAAGCCTCTGAGAACTTTTCCTAGGGCCCCTGGCTTCCCACTGGGTAAAGGTTACACATCCTATATCTAAAGTCAACTAGCTATAGGCCCAGCGGCGACAGAACAATGTTGGATATTCCAGAGTAGGCAAACCAGACAATCTCCACATCAACACTGACAAAGAAACAGCAATAAATACTATTTACCCACAAGCAGAAAGAAATTACATATATTAGAAACCAACACTTTCTCATTACTTTATTTTCCAGATCACCAGACTGGGCCACAGTAACGCCTGGCAGGGGACGGCTAGTGATAAATAAATCTCCTGGGAACTGTCTGGGAAGGATATTATGTCATCCTTCTAGTCAACAAACAGTTACTTCCAAAAAGTAGCATGTACAATATGTAAATTAGAAGTTTATGTCATGTTCCTCAGAAGAGTCTACTCTTATAGTCGAGAAATTTGTATTAATTGCATCCTGCAGTTCTCTTCAGTCTATTTGCCTTCTATTCTATGTGAACTAACATTTATTTTAAGATATCTTGGAAACTGAAGTTGGTAGCTTGAAAGTAATGCCTCCACGTCCAGAACAAATGCATTTTCATAAAAGAGCAAAAGTAATGTGCAATTCTAAGGCAGGAAATTGCCTACTTTTCACACCTGCCGCACAATGAAGTGGAATGCTGTGCCAAAAATGAACAAAACCACTCCTAATTGGGAAGTGTTGTTCATTCTGCTGACACTGGGCTACTCTTCAATTCTTGTACACATCGGTGTAATATTAATAACTAAGCTTCTTAGGGATTGTCCTGGATGAGGGGCTGTGTGTGTGGAGTAATTGAAAAATCTGTGTGGATGAATAGTGGACCATTCAATGCAGACTGATCATACTTAGCAATAGACATACTCACATGGATGACACTTTGGTTACTGCATTAAAGAAATTGGGTGGGTGGGTGCTAAAATATGCTGTTGTCATTGGCAACAATTGTGGGTTGCATCTAGATTTACCGGTGACTAGCATAATCCCCATTGATTTCTGTGGACCTGCTCTATATATGATTACACACTGCAGAATTAATGTAGTTTGACACTTCTTTAACTGCCACAGCCCAATGCTATGGAAAAATGAGGGTCACATTTTTATACAGCTTTTAGCCTTACCAAACTACAACTCACACGATTCCATAGCACAGAGCCATGGCAATGAAAGTGGTGGTAAAGTGGAGTAATTCTACAATGTAGATATACCCTTTGTCTAACTCATAGCTGCTGGTAAAGATAGCATCATGTCTTTAGCTGCTACTTAGTCCTTCTCTTTAGTAATGATAGAATTTACATCATGTTAGATGATGATGCAGGATGTCTATCTATCTATCTATCTATCTATCTATCTATCTATCTATCTATCTATCTATCTATCTCCAGCCATCCAGCCATCCATCCATCCATCTATATCATCTATCAGAGCAACTACACACTTATTTATTTATTTATTTACTAGCCATCCCTGTCACACATTGCTGTGGCCCAGTCTGTGTTTATGTGTTTTGTGTGTGTATATATGTGTGAATATATTTGTATATTCCTTCCTAAAGGAAGGAAGGAAAGGAATATTTGTATATGTGTATATATGTGTGTCTGCATATATATGTGGTTTTGCGCATGCATTGTAATGTATTTTTTATTTTTTGACTTTTAAATTTATTTATTTATTTATAGCATTTTTACCCCGCTCTTCTCAACGCCCCCCCCCCCCCAGGGGGGGGGGGATTCAGAGCAGCTAACAAAAGGCAACAATTCGATGCCACAATCAGTAACACAGTATAAAACCATAAATACATACAGAGTTCAAACAATAACAATTAATTAACCAAATTATCATGTTGTTGTTCATTCGTTCAGTCATCTCCGACTCTTCGTGACCTCATGGACCAGCCCACGCCAGAGCTCCCTTTCAGCCGTTACCACCCCCAGCTCCCTCAAGGTCAGTCCGGTCATTTCAAGGATGCCATCCATCCATCTTGCCCTTGGTCGGCCCCTCTTCCTTTTGCCTTCCACTTTCCCCAGCATAATTGTCTTCTCTAGGCTTTGCTGTCTCTCATGATGTGGCCAAAGTACTTCAACTTTGTCTCTAGTATCCTTCCCTCCAATGAGCAGTCAGGCTTTATTTCCTGGAGGATGGACTGGTTGGATCTTCTCGCAGTCCAAGGCACTCTCAGAACTTTCCTCCAACACCACAGTTCAAAAGCATCTATCTTCCTTCGCTCAGCCTTCCCTAAGGTCCAGCTCTCACATCCATAGGTTACTACAGGGAATACCATGGCTTTGACTAGGCGGATCTTGGTGCCAGTGTGATGTCTCTACTCTTTACTATTTTATCGAGATTGGACATTGCTCTCCTCCCAAGAAGTAAGCGTCTTCTGATTTCCTGGCTACAGTCTGCATCTGCAGTAATCTTTGCACCTAGAAATACAAAGTCTGTCACGGCCTCCATGGTTTCTCCCTCTATTTTCCAGTTGTCAATCATTCTTGTTGCCATAATATTGGTTTTTTTGATGTTTAGCTGCAACCCGGCTTTTGCGCTTTCTTCTTTCACCTTGATTAGAAGGCTCCTCAGCTCCTCCTCGCTTTCGGCCATCAGAGTGGTGTCATCTGCATATCTGAGGTTGTTAATGTTTCTTCCAGCAATTTTCACCCCAGCTTTGCATTCATCAGCCCCGCACATCGCATGATGTGTTCTGCATACAAGTTAAAAAGGTTGGGTGAGAGGATGCAGCCTTGCCGTACGCCTTTCCCAATCTTGAACCAGTCTGTTGTTCCGTGGTCAGTTGTTACTGTTGCTACTTGGTCCTTGTACAGATTCCTCAGGAGAGAGACAAGGTGGCTTGGGATGCCCATCCCACTAAGAACTTGCCACAATTTATTATGATCCACACAGTCAAAGGCTTTAGAATAGTCAATGAAGCAGAAGTAGATGTTTTTCTGAAACTCCCTGCTTTTCTCCATTATCCAGCGGATATTGGCAATTTGGTCTCTCGTTCCTCTGCCTTTTCTAAACCCAGCTTGAACATCTGGCAACTCTCGCTCCATGTATTGCTGGAGTCTTCCTTGCAGAATCTTGAGCATTACCTTACTGGCATGAGAAATAAGGGCCACTGTATGGAAGTTTGAGCAGTCTTTCGCATTTCCCTTTTTTGGTATGGGGATATAAGTTGATTTTTTCCAGTCTGATGGCCATTCTTGTGTTTTCCATATTTGCTGGCAAATGGCATGCATCACCTTGACAGCATCATCTTTTAAGATTTTAACAGTTCAGCTGGGATCCCGTCATCTCCTGCTCCCTTGCTGTTAGCAATGCTTCTTAAGGCCCATTCAACCTCACTCCTCAGGATGTCTGGTTCTAATTCACTCACCACACCGTCAAAACTACCATCAGATTGCATGAATTATCCTTCCTATACAGATCTTCTGTATAGTCTCGCCACCTTCTCTTGATCTCTTCAGCTTCTGTTAGGTCCCTGCCATCTTTGTTTCTTATCATACCAATTTTTGCCTTAAATTTACCTCCAATGTTTCTAATTTTCTGGAAGAGGTCTCTTGTCCTTCCTATTCTGTTGTCTTCTTCCACTTCCATGCATTGCTTATTTAAAAATAGTTCCTTATCTCTTCTGGCTAACCTCTGGAATTGCGCATTTAACTTGGCATATCTCCCCTTATTCCTGTTTTGCTTTCCTCCTTTCTTGGGCTACTTCCAGTTTCTCAGCAGACAACCATTTTGCCTTCTTGGTTTCTTTTTCTTTGGGACGTACTTTGTTGCCGCCTCCTGAACAATGTCTCGGACTTCTGTCCATAGTTCTTCTGGGACTCTGTTTACTAAATCTAATCCTTCAAATCTGTTCTTCACTTCCACTGTATATTCGCTAGGAATGTCAGTGAGATCATATCTAACTGGTCTGTGTATTTTCCCTGATCTCTTTAGTTTTATTCTAAATTGGGCAATAAGAAGTTCGTGATCTGAGCTACAGTCAGCCCCAGGTCTTGTTTTCACCGACTGGATGGACGTCCGCCACCTTTGGCTGCAAAGGATGTAGTCAATCTGATTTCGGTGTTGACCGTCTGGTGAGGTCCATGTGTAAAGCCGTCTTTTAGGTTGTTGGAAGAGAGTATTCGTTATACACAACAAGTTTTCCTGGCAAAATTCTATCAGCCTGCGTCCAAATTATCATAACAGTCATTAAAACAGTCATTAAAACATTAAAGTCTCTTCCACAATTTTTTTATTGTGTTTATGAGTGATGGCCACTTGTTGGCCTGATAGGTATGTTGTGTCCAAATTTGGTGTCCATTTGTCCAGTGGTTTTTGAGTTATGTTAATCTCACAAACTAACATTACATTTTATTTATATAGGTTTCCAATATTTCTACCCTGTCCTTCTCAACCCCCAAAGGGGGACTCAGGGCAGCTTACAATGGCAGCAATTCGATGCCAACAACATACAAACACATTACAACAACATTATACAAGATAAAAGCATTAGATTAAAATAAATTAAAATACATTGGGTTAAAATACGTTAAAACATTATTATTCATCACTAGCTGTGCCCTGCCACGCGTTGCTGTGGCCCAGTCTGTGTATATGTGTTTTGTGTGTGTATATATGTGTGTGTATATATTTGTGTATATGTGTGGTTTTGCGCATGTGTTGTAATGCATTTTTTGTCTTTTGGCTTTTTTAGTCTCTTCTGCTGTGTTTTGCAGTGTTTTTATGCGTGATGGTCACTTGCTGGCCTGATAGGTGTATTGTGTTGAAATTTGGTGTCATTTCGCCCAGTGGTTTTTGAGTTATGTTAATCCCACAAACGAACATTACATTTTTATTTATATAGATATATGTATGTATTGTATGTATGTATTTATATATTTACAGTATTTATATTCCACCCTTCTCATCCCGAAGGGGACTCAGGGCGGATCACAAAGCAAACATTCAATGTGGCAAACATTCAGTGCTATTTTATACACAACTAGACAGACAATTATACATAGATAAGAGGTATATATATCGGCCTTCCCATCTTTCAGTCTCTTGGAAAGTGTTGTGTGTAAAATGAAGTCATAGCCCTTAATATCGTGGCAAAATGCAAACCTTATTGATATCAATTATTGATCCTCCAATACATTTGTATCTTTTTGGGTTTTCCAGAACACAAGATGGAGCAATGCAGATCTTTGAAAAGCAAATGAAAAAGGTTTACTTTTGGATGCCAGGTGGGATGGGTGGGAGAGGAAGCTCATGGTTGGAACCCCTTCGACGTTCAGCTGGAATAGGTTTATCTGTGTTTAGAAAAAAAAGAAAGAAATCATATTATGCAACTGGTAACGTGAATGTGAGCCGACTTTAATTGGTCTCACATAGACTCAGAGAGAGAAAGGACTCTATTTTAAGAGATGACCTTCCACCTGAACCGAAGTTGCTAAAGATCTGGCTATAGTAACAACTATTGGTCTTCAAACTTTGTTTCTAAAAATAATACTTCATAACGTGTACATCATACACAGAATATTGTGACCAAATCCTCAGTGCTGTAGCCCAAATGACTAAGAATTCAAATCAGAAAAGTGATGAATGAGCCCAAACCAGGTTCAGCATTGTGTTTAGAATAAAACCTAGAGCTTCACTGAAAGCCACCATTTAATTGAAGTCCTTCCCTCAAAGCACAATCTTCTGCTTTTCTCACTTGCTGAACCCTGGCTGAGAAAAGGCTTCAAAAGATATAGAGGGTACTAAATCAGTCTGAAAAATTTAAGGAGTCCCATCTTTAATTCTACCTGCAAAGCATATGTGAGTCTACCTACAAAACAACTCTATGCCCATGTTATAATTTGTCTCAATTTGGGATTCACAGTTCTTCACAGTATTGCTCACCATGAATAAGATAATGCAAAAGGATATGTAAATGTTGAAACAAAAAAAAGCAGTTTACCTTCAATAATACTGAGATGGTCTCTCTCAGGGAGTGTCGGTTTCTACAATCACATCAAAAATAATAATAAGAGAATAAGTCCCAAAGAAGCAAACAGCGATATTAATTTGCTTTCCCAAACATTAGTTTAGAAGAGACTATTTATTTATTTATTTGTTTGTTTACCATATTTATATCCCGCCTTTCTCACCCTGGAGGGGATTCAAGGCGTCCTTACAATTGTGGTTTTTCATATGATGCTTTCCGTAAGGTTTGAGAGCTATGCTGAAAAAGGAGGAAATTCTTAAACAAACCTCTCACATTTACTGAAATAGTTATTTTAAGCACATCATGGCTTGTTAGTAAGTTAGACGATCCCTCGTAGTCTGAGGATGATAGTCCTCCAAGTGTAGTATTTTGGTGGTGGGTCCATAGGTGACTGTGGAGCCCTATTCTTGATCTGCATCTTCTCCCACAGTGAGGGCATTGGTATCCAGGTGGAAGGTGGTCCCAATCGGGGTTGGCTTGATACACCTTCCTCTTGGCACGTTTATCTCTTTCGCCCTCCATTCATGCCTCTACAAATTCTGCAGCACTGCTGGTCACAACTGACTTCCAACTGAAGCGCTGAAGGGCCAGGGCTTCCCAGTTCTCAGTGTCTATGCCAGAGTCTTTAAGGTTGGCTTTGAGCCGGTCTTTAAATCTCTTTTCCTGTCCTCCAACATTCTGTTGTCTGTTTTTGAGTTCGGAATAGAGCAACTGCTTGGGAGATGGTGGTCAGGCATCCGGACAACATAGCCAGTCCAGTGGAATTGATGGCGGAGGACCATCGCTTCAGTGCTGATGGTCTTTGCTTCTTCCAGCACACTGACATTTGTCCGCTTGTCTTCCCAAGAGATTTGCAGGATTTTTCAGAGGCAGCACTGATGGAATCATTCCAGGAGTTCCATGTGATGTCTGTAGACTGTCCACGTCTTGCAGGCATATAGCAGGGTTGGGAGGACAATAGTTTTATAAACAAGCACTTTGGTATCCCTATGGATGTCCTGGTCCTCAAACACTCTCTGCTTCATTTATATAGCTAGCTGGTGAAAAGTGATCAATAAGCTTTGATAAGGTAGTTCATGAAACTCTCTTTTCTTAAACTTATTTCTGGGGGTAGCTAATTTTATTGTGTGAATTTCTCCTTTGAGAAAAATCAAATTACCTCTAGAGAATAGGAAAACTACTTCACACATATTATTTCTTTGGCATCTTTTGTTCCATAGTTGCTCATCTAGTGTTGATGCACAAGGAGATAATAATGGGTTATGTTCTTTTTCTTGGGTAAAAAAACCTTTATGAGAACACAAAGGAGTGGAAAAGGAAACTGTCATCCTAAAAAAAGAGAGAGTTCTTTATGAAGCACTTTAAACTGTAAGTCTTTCCTGTGATCCCTTTGTTTGTATTTTGAAAATGTGGTTGTGTAAACAGAAACTTGGCGATAGAAACTTGGCAGTAGAAAGCTATGCATTTCACAGAAAAATATATTGGATAACAAATAATTATAGCATTTCACATTTCTAGCCTATGGAAACAACTGTAAAAAACATTTTAAAGTATATTCTTAGTGCATAGTTCTATTACTTTACACAAACACAAAATAACATACTAGATTTGTCAAAAAGTCTAGATCGGGGTCCTCAAACTAAGGCCTGAGGGCCGGATATGGCCCTCCAAAGTCATTTACCCGGCCCTCACTCAGGGTCAACCTAAGTCTGAAACGCCTTGAAAGCACTCAACAACAACAATCCTATCTCATCAGCCAAAAGCAGGCCCACACTTCCCATTGAAATACTAATAAGTTTATATTTGTTGAAATTGTTCTTAATTTTAATTATTGTATTGTTTTAAAGTGTTTTTGCACTATAAATAAGATATGTGCAGTGTGTATAGGAACTCATTCATGTTTTTTTTTTTTAAAAAAAATTTATAATCCAGCCCTCCAACAGTTTGAAGGTCTGTGACCTGGCCCTCTGTTTAAAAAGTTTGAGGACCCCTGGTCTAGATACATAAAACTGGAGATTTTTAAAAATGTAATTACTAGCCATTAACATAGGCAATCATACAAAATAAGTCAAGCAAAATGTTAAGTACTGCTATGTTTATTGGCTACGATTCAGTAAGTATATGAGGGAAGCCCCACAATTTTATAGCAAGAGGCATCTGGATGTTTTCTTTCATCCTTCTGTTAGATAAATTGACTCATTGACTCATATAATGCAGTTCAAGACAGTTAAACGGCTATATGTGAGTCTACAACTGTGCTTCATTATGTTGTTTTTAGCCACTCTGTGCCATCTGTAAGCCGCCCCAAGCCCCTTTGGGAAGATGGTGGTGGGATATAAGAATAAAGTTGTTTATTATTATTATTATTATTATTATTATTATTATTATTATTATTATTATTTTAAACTCAACAAGATTAGTACAAAGCAAACAAGGTCACTCTGCTGGCTGTTGTATTGGATCACATGTTGGGCATTTCCCAAGTGTCTAGGACTGTGTGACGTATCGGCAAATAATGTGTGCAGATCCCAGTAAGGTGGCTTTCTGCAGCTGGCAGATGGTAATTTTGTCAGCACCCATTGTGTTTAAGTGCAGGCCAAAGTCTTTAGGCACTGCATTATTATTATTATTATTATTATTATTATTATTATTATTATCATTATCATTACTACTACTACTACTACAGTGGTTCCCAACCTTTTTTGACCAGGGACCACTTTCCAACCATAGTCTCAAAAGGGTAACAAATCAACTTTAGATTCAGTTTGCTTATTTGGGGTGCTGATTCAGAAAATTGCATTGGATAGACCACATCAACTCTAGTTTTTGATACAGAACATATGCCATCCAATAGTTGCCATCTGATCGCCCGCACAACACCAAATTCAATAATCTAGAGCTGATGTGGTGGTAATAATCTTTTGTGGGTAGTCAGTCTAGTCCCTCCCAACATCCCTGTTGTCTTGTTACTATAAGAGGGTTTCGTGAGACCAGTCGCTCTCCTTATTGCATGATTTCGAGGTAACGATGTAGTAATGGTGGGGCCACAGACCATATTTTCATTCTTGGGGACCGCTGGTGGTCCATGGACCCCAGGCTGGGAGCCACCGCTCTACAATGACCATATAATACAAACTCCATTGAGGTCTTGGTTCCACCAATACAACTGGCCCATCCAAGTGGGGACATATGAGAAGGCCTTCTTAGGATGGATCTACACTACCATATAATGTAGATTATCAACACAGATAATCCACATTATCTGTATTGAACTGAGTCTACACTGCAGATAATCTGGATTTTATATGGCAATGTAGAAGGGGTCTCAGTGGGTTTCCATGGCTGAGTGGTGAATTTAACCTTATTCTCCAGAGTCATAATCCAGTACTCAAATCACTACACAAATGTTAATTTACTATTCAGCAAATGATTTAATGAGTTTATTCTAGTTGGGACTCGCAATTGAATGGAGATTAGAATATTAAATATACCTTTCCAAACTGGTGTAAGTGAACCAACCAGTGGATTGTATTATACAAATCAGTGGATTGTATTGTAGAATTAATGTTCAGCATTCATTAATGCTATAAATGCAAAAGCAACTTACCGGTAGTGTTGCTGGGTTTGGAAGTTTTTTCCTGCAGGAAAAGAAAAAGGAAGGAATAAGGTTGTTTTCTTAAATAAGATGAGTGGATACAGAGATGAGTGCGTAGAAGGCTTTCTCCTTCTGCACTTAACTGTGGTCCAGAAATTCCTTCAAATACCTTTTTGGGGGACTGCACTGAGAATTCAGGGGAGGCAGTAAAGTTATAGAAGTCTGATGCCCAAGCTCTAGAAAAACAGTGTTTGAAAGGGGATGGGAAACTTTTGTCCATGAGATGCTTTTACCTATTTACTTTTGGTCATACTGATGAGACTGATGGGAATTGCAGGCCAAAACATCCAGAGCACCAAAGATTTCCCACTCCCTTTTAAAGCGCATTCATTTATGAATACATGCAGAATGAATAGACTCCTTCCTATTACATTAACTAGTCCTGTGACAACATCCCATGGGATCCTGGGAATGTGTTAGAGCTCTCTGGCTAAGCATTCTAAATACCTTTTCCCTAAACTGTAAATCTCAATATTGCAAACTACTGTATATACTCAAGTATAAGCTGAATTTTTCAGCCCTTTTTTTAGGTTGAAAAAGCCCCCCTCGGCTTATGCTTGAGTCAAAGTTATTTATTATTTTACTCTGATATTATTTTTATTACATTTATTATTTTATTACATTTATTATTAAGTATTAGTACATTTGTTATTTTACTCTATTATTATTGCTATTATTACATTATTACTTTATTCTATTTATTATTATTCTATTTATTATTTTATTCTATTTATTGTTTTTATTACATTTATTATTTTGCTCTATTATTATTTTTATTGCATGTATGATTTTACTCTATTATTATTACATTTATTATTCTATTCTATTTATTATTATTATTACATTTATTATTTTGCTCTATTATTATTTTTATTACATTTATTATTTTACTCTATTATTATTGGAATGATACGTAAGCACATTTACACCGAAGGAGGTTAGAATAATGGTTTAATCAAAGCTGGACATTCGTATCTTAAATTATAGTTTTATGTAAATATTCAAAAACATTCAACCTACTGATGTCTCAATTAATGTAATTTTATTGCTTTCTATTTTTATTTTGAAATTAGCTGTCCCCTGCCACACGTTGCTGTGGCCCAGTCTGTGTATATGTGTTTTATGTGTGTATATTTTTGTGTATATATGTGTGTTTGTGCTTATATATGTGGCTTTGCACATGCGTTGTAATTTTTTTGGGCTTTTAAAGTCTCTTCTGCTGTGTTTTCCAGTGTTTTTATGAGTGATGGTCACTCGTTGGCCTTATAGGTGTACTGTGTCCAAATTTGGTGTCAATTCATCCAGTGGTTTTTGAGTTATGTTAATCCCACAAACGAACATTACATTTTTATTTATATAGATTTACCAGTATCTGCTGCATTTCACACCCTTGGCTTATATCGAGTCAATACGTTTTCCTAGTTTTTTGAGGTAAAATTAAGTGCCTCGGCTTAGTGAGTCAGTTTATACTCGAGTATATGTATGTTGCCAAGGCTGTTTAAGTGGATAATCTGGATTATATGGCAGTGTAGATCCAGCCTAAGACATATGTAACCATGGCCAGATCTGTCATCTCGAGTAGGGGCACATACCACTGGCCAATCCCTATGCCTACACTCTTCATCACATTGGCAAGACCTTTGTTTAGAAATAGTTTAAAAAATAAATTAATGCACAGGACTATCTCCATGTGACACTGAAGCAGAAGACTGAAATACAGTTCATATGTCAGGAAAAGTAATGGCTTGTTTGTCACATACGCAATCCTCGGCAATGGAGATGGGATTGTAACGGATGGAAACTTGAATTCTGGAGCACTTTTGCTGTTGTGATCTGAAATTCAAACACGATACTTAGTTCAATGCACTTAATACCCATTTCTTTAGAAAAGAACCTACACATTAGAAACTTGGCAAATGTAGAATCAGGGTTAAGAGTAAAAAAATCGCTCTCCAACACAACTTAATTCTTCCAGAATTATAAATTCTTTGAGAATCCTGGACTTACAGAAACCCTTTTGTTAATTTTTATTACTATTAACACTCAATTGCACCTAGGGAAATTAACATAATAATACATAGCATAGTACTTTCTTATTCTCTTGAGTGTTTCATACTAACCATTTCAACCTTATGCAATAGGGTAGGTCAGTATTATTATCATATTGCAGATTGGAAGTGACTTGAGAGTGAATGGCTTGCCCAAGGCTACCTACTGCATTCATCAAAAAGGTCAGATTTAATGCCGAGGTGTTTTCATTTGTAACCTATGTGCATTAGCTATCCTGTTCAACCAGTACTCCAAATAGTTCAGAGTTCAAGAAATAATGAAAACCAGCCATTAGAAAAGGTGAAATACACACTTCAAAGAAATGGATGCATTAGATGCCAAATGAATGGTAATTTGCATTGCACTCCAAAGCTTTTTCCCTTTTCAGAAATAAACTTCACCATTCAGAGTGGATTTTACTCTTCTAAGTATATTCAGTATTACAGATAAAATGGGGCAGTACTATTTATTATTATTTCAGGCATTTATACCCCGTCCTTCTCGACCTCTGAGGAGGGACTCAGAAAGGCTTCCAAACAGGCAACAATTCAATGCCAAACATGATATAAAACACATAATAAATACATCCATATACATTAAAATACTTAATACACACACACGAGGTTGAATGAAAAGTAATGCCTCCACCTTTGTTACTTGGGTTTGGATGGGAATATTTTAATAAATCAAATGCAGAAATAATCCTTAGAATGTGCTCTTTAACTACCACTATTCACTTTCCCACATAATCACCAGACAATTGGATACATTTCTGCCAACGATGAACAAGTTCTCTGAAGCCGTCACGGAAGAAGTCGACACTCTGTTTCCGGAACCCATCATGCACAGATCTTCCGATAGCCAACCAAAGCAATAATGTGACCCACATGTTCTTGTGAAATGCCGATTATGCTTGAAATTTCTCTCTGAGTGATATGACGATCGTACTGAATCAATCTGTCAACCTTTTGCTTGTGAAACTTGGTGGTTGCTGTCACAGGACGTCCGACTTTGTTTGTCACGCAAGTCAGATGTTCCTACCTCAACATCTTTAAACTTATTCGCCCAAAGATGCACTGTACTCACATCAACACAATCACCATAAAGCTTGCATTCTCTGATTAATCTCCTTTGAGGTGACACCATCTGCTGTCAAGAACTCAATGACTGCACGTTGCTTAAGTCACATTGACCGACCGTCTGTGCAGGGTTACATACTTCGTACTTTAACAACACAACCATTCAATGCTAAGGCTTCCCACCAAAATGGAACTGTGGAGGACAGTCTACTGAACAAGCCAGTACCTACTGCATACCAGTACTGCCATCTGTTGAGAAGTTACAAAGGTGGAGGCATTACCTTTCATTCAACCCTCGTGTGTGTGTGTGTGTACATATATAAACTAGATTAAAATAGCCATATTAAAATCATCATCCAAAACAACATTGTAGAGGAGAAGATACAGTGTTGCCACTGGAAATTGGTTTTGGTGCCTCCAGTCACCCTGCAAGAAGTCCTTCACTTGGGGACTTTCACGCAATATGTACTTACTTTCATCATTGTGCATTCCCAGGCCATCTGGTTCCTAGAATCAAAATATAGTTGTCTAATTACAATTGTCAATTGAGACAAATAAGAAAAAATACATTTCAGATAAATTCTAATCTGGAGTAATATCAGTGAGTGAGATGAACACAATCCATTTTGGATGGATGGTCTTCACAAGTTTTGCCAAACAGTGATACGATGCTAATATTGTCACTGTGCTAGTGCAAGGCCTACGGGGCTAACAGAAATCGAGATGGAGAATTAGCATAACTCTACTGTGTACCATGCAGCTGTGGACAAGTCTACATAGGGAACACCAAATGCAGCATTGCCCAAACACGAATAAAGGAACATGAAAGGCACTGCAGACTAATTCAGCCAGAGAAGTCAGCCATAGCAGAGCACCTGATGAACCAACCTGGACACAGCATTTGATTTGAGAACACAGAAATGCTGGACCACTCTCACAACCACCATGTCAGACTACACAGAGAAGCCACTGAAATCCACAAGCATATGGATAATTTCAACAGAAAGGAAAAAACCATGAAAATGAACAAAATCTTGCTACCAGTATTTAAAAAAACTCTAAAATTATAACAGGAAATAAATAAAAACACTCAAACACAGGAGAACTCCAGACAAGAAACAACCAGGAACAGCTAACCACCTCTCAACAAAGGATTTCCCCAGGCAGTAACAAGCCACACCTAAAATCTGTCAGGCCATCAAATGCTAATCAAAGTGGCCAATTGAAACATTCACCCCTAGCTCTCTTTCTCCCACCCTGGACTTTCTACAGATATATAAACCCAATTTTCCTAGTTTCCAACAAACCTCACAACCTCTAAGGATGTCTGCAATAGATGTGCGTAAAACGTCGGGAGAGAATGCTTCTAGAACATGGCCATACAGCCTGAAAAACCTACAACAACCCACTACTGTTTTCATTTGTGATACCAGAAGCACAACATGGACTGCACCTCTCTTTCTCTATCACTCAAAGGTGCAACTATGCTAGTTGTATTTTTCAGTCCAGTGAGATCGTGTTGGATTATGGCTAATAGTCATTATCACACATATCAGGCAGTCCTTGCTTGAGGCAAGAGCCATCGTTTCTAAATAGCTCAGGTCTGCTGATGCCACTGTCACAAGAGTAGCTGCCACAACCGATTCCCACAGCCCTTGATCTCTTCTCACTTCTCCATCCTACCTACCTGCCCTTCCACCCTACCAGACTGATTTCTTTCCAAAAACATTGGCAAGTCCTGAATAAAAACTATGTAGGGCAGCAGGAGAGGTGGCAGCAAATATACCAATACTGGCCAACATACATTTTGTTATCTCAAATTTTAGCCCTCTTTCTAGTTATGTTTGACCTGCCAATTCCAAAAATTGCATGAGTTTCCCCCTATCAGCTCTAGTTTTTGATATATAGAACATATGCCAGCTACCAGTCTAAGAAACGAGAGCTGAGGCAGTCCATCCAATGCAATTTTCTCAACCATCACTCCAGGTAAGTAACTCCAGGAACAGGTCTAAAAACCAAGGCATCAAGGAACGTTTTTGTTGGGCTGTGTAATCAATGAATAATCAAGTTTAGGCTGAAAATGTGGAGGGACTGTTGTAAGTACTAGAAATGAACAACTTGTTAAAGACTTTGAGTGCCGTTATTTAGACGAAAGGTGGGATATAAATCCATCTCCTCACCCCCACCCTAAGATAGCCTTTCTGTCCCATCATCAAAAGCAACAGGTGGGCAAGAAAAATAACTTACTTTTGGTGGTGGACGCTGTCTTGGAATCGGCAAAACATTTCTGGAAAGAATTGAAAAAAAATATGTTTCACTCTAACCTTTTTCCGATTTAAAATGGTAGCTATCCATTTCGTTCTTACTCAGTATTACACAGCTCATGCCCAACATGAGACATGTTTGGAGACACATTTGGTAGCACCGGGACTTTGGCGCAGCTGGCTGGGAGTCAGCTGCATTAAGACCACTACTGACCGAAAGGTCATGAGTTCGAAGCCAGCCCGGGCTGGAGTGAGTGTCCGACCAATTTATGTAGCTTGCTTTTGACCTTCGCAGCCCGAAAGACAGTTGCACCTGTCAAGTAGGAAATTTAGGTACCGCCTATGCAGGGAGGCTAATTTAACTAATTTACGATGCTATAAAAATCTCCAGCAAGCCTGCAAAGAATGAGGAAATACTTCATCAGTGTCACAAATGGACAGTGAAGCAACAGCTCCCCGGTGACCAGAATACCCTCATCAAAAGCTGGAATGTTAAATTGCCTCTGTGTGTCTGTTTATATAGGTTGTGTGTCTATGGCATTGAATGTTTGCCATGTATATGTACATTGTAATCTGCCCTGAGTCCCCTGCGGGGTGAGAAGGGCAGAATATAAATACTGGGTTGTTGTAGGTTTTTTCGGGCTATATGGCCATGGTCTAGAGGCATTCTCTCCCGACGTTTCGCCTGCATCTATGGCAAGCATCCTCAGTCAGACCTCACTACCTCTGAGGATGCTTGCCATAGATGCAGGCAAAACGTCAGGAGAGAATGCCTCTAAACTATGGCCATATAGCCCGAAAAAACCTACAACAACCCAGTGATTCCGGCCATGAAAGCCATCGACAATACAATATAAATACTGTAAACAAAATGAAATAATTAATAAATAAATTTAATAGTGCAAATCTTAAGTAGAGAATGAACTAACCTGTCTGGTTTAATGGATTCCCTAACTCCATTGCGTTCATGAGGAGGTCCTCCTGTCTGTCTCTGGACAGGCTTTGGAGGAAGTGGCTTTGAAATTCTGGGGGGGAAAAAAAAGTATTAACATGGTTTCCCTTTGCGAAGCATCAAAGTGACTGTTTTGTGCGAGAGCCTGAAAAGTTTACTTTTCTGGATTATTTATTTATTTACGGTATTTCTATCCTGCCTTTCTCAGCCTGAAGGCGACTCTATTGGCAGAAATTTGATGCCACCATAGTCATAAAATATAATTTAAAAAACCATTTAGCACAACATTATAAAAATCTGTACACCCCCCCCATTAAAAACATATAATCAATAGTGTCTTCCTGTTAAACTCATTTTCCCAGTAGCATCGTCTAGCTGTTCCATGTTCACTCTTTCATAGTTCCATGTTTATCTATTATGCTGCATTTCCAAAAGCTTGTTCAAAGAGCCAGGTTTTAATTTTTTTTTAAAGTCGGGAGGGAGGGGGCGATCTAATATCCCTAGGGAGGGCGTTCCACAGCTGAGGGGCCACCACTGAGAAGGCCATGTCTCTCGTCACTGTGAAGAAGGTGGGATCGAGAGCAGGGCCTCCCCAGACGATCTTAAGTTTCTAGATGGTTCATAAGGAGAGATACATTTGGACAGGTAAGCTGGGCCGGAACTGTTTAGGGCTTTATAGGCTAAAACCAGCACTTTGAATTCTGCCCTTTCTTTTATAATCCAAGAAAATTTGAATTCTCTTGGATTACAAGAGAAAGATACATGAATATTAAGTAATTCTGGAAACTGAAGTTTTCAAAAAACTTTTCCAAAGCTCTGTTACAGAAACAGAGAAAAGATCTTTGCTGAATGCAAACATATGCAGTCCTCTGGAATTGGATGTGAATGATCTGAAGGTATTTTGGAACAGCTGTACTTATGGTATGAAAGGCTGTAGTCAGAAAGCGGAATATCTCTCTTCACAAATTCCATCTTTGAAACAACATTAGCTAAACAACAATGACTATTTCTCTTGCTAAAAGAATTAAAAATAATTGGCAGTAATGTATGATATATTTATAGATACATATGCTGGGAAAGAAACACACACATTATGCAATGAAAACAACACCAGGAAATCCAGAGTACAGTATGCAACTCAGTGAGGTGGTAATCCTGTACCCTGTTTCCTGAAGTCAGTGAGACTAAGTAAGTAAGTAAGTAATAATAATAATTTTATTTTTTATCCACCTCTTCTTTCAGCTTGAGGCAGGTTACAACATTGCTAAACCATTATATGAAATACACACATTAAAAGTATGCATAGCCTGGGATTGTGACGGACTCATTGACAATACAAGTGATTTCTATTTCATTTACTGATATATATGTAAGATTGACTGCTTGCATTGCTTGCATTGCACTGTAGAGGATTTTTAAAGCACAAAGTTGCCCCCAATTGCCTAATGAACAACCCTGGGTACTTCCAGACAGCACCAAATTGTGGGTTTAATAGGTAGGACAATAGGTCTGCGCTTAGACCTATTGTGTCTGCCATATCCAGGTTTGCTGCTTTGTTCCAGGATTTTGAAGCCTACAAAATGGTCGCTGTGGGACATCCGCCAAAATTTTCGGTGTTTTTAAATTCAAAAAACTTTAAATGCACAGATGCAAATATGCGCATCATTCGTACAAGTTTTGTTCCTGTGTCATACATATCTGTTTCTCATTTCTTTTATCCTGAAAGGATGGTGAAAGTTGACTAGTGGGCGAAAACTTTGTCTTGGCAAGAGAAACTTGGTCCGCCACATGTTTAATGAAGTTTGTGACACACAAACAAAGTTTGTGGAGTAGGACTACTACTTTCAAAGTTAGAACTATGCTATTCAATAGGAACAGACACTTTCAAGCCAGGAACAGAACCCTGGCATTATTATTATCATTCAGAGGCCGTATGGCCATCTGTGCAGACAGGTTTGTTCTTGTACTTGTGCCTGGGAACAATGGGGTAATGTTCCTGGGTTATATGTATCTGTTCCTCGTTGCTTTTATCATAAAAACATGGGGAAAGTTGATTACATGGCAAAACCTTTGTTTGTGTGTCACAAACTTTATTAAATATGTGGAGGACGAAGTTTCACTTGCCAGGATAAAGTTTTCACTCTCTAGTCAACTGTTGCCACGTTTTTAGGATACAACCAATCAGAAACCAACATGTATAATCCAACATAAAAAATCCCATATTTTCTGAGTGTAGAGACATTCAGAGATTTGAATATCTGCATTTTCCAGCCAGAACCAGAATATTCTCACAACTGAAAATCGTGTTTTTTAAGAGTTTTGTAGCAATTTCTCCAATGTTTTCAGAGGACGTTATTTGATTACCCTCCATTTTGAACTGGGAGCTCCTGGAATAAAGATACTATGAGGATGATCCCCCTTGTTTACCAGTCATCTTCTAATCCAGCCATTCCCAAATTGTGGTCCTCTGGGAGTTTTGAATGTCAGTTCCCAGAATTCCTGAATGTTAGCTAAACTTCTGGGGACTGAATTCAAAAATACCTGGAGGACCAAAGTTTGGGAACTACTCTTCTAATGCATTAGATATTCTACAGATAAATAGCTTTGTCTGTTTTTTAAACCTCCCTTTCCAATGAAAGGCAACCTGGAAATTGTCTAACATGTGCACATGTAAGTCATAATGTTGGCCTCAATGACTATATCTGCACAGCTAGAGAACCAATAGGTAACTCACAGAGATGTTACTTGCAATGCTTGAGTGGAAAGCACAAGGAGTGCTGATTTTTACTACGCTGCTAAGTTTTACTCTGAATCCTGCAAACTTGGATTACTGGATGAATCTCAAAGGGTGCATCAGGACCCTTTCACACCACTTTAATTATAGTTTGGTGAGGCATCAGTAAAACCACAATTCCCAGGACTCCATAGCATTGAGCCATGGCAGTTAAAGTGGTGCCAAATTTCATTAATTCTATAGTGTAGGTGCACCTTTACTCAGATATTCTTATATCTGAAAGCCATTACCTTGTTAACGGGGGCGATGATAATTCCTGTTGAAAAAAAATGAGTCGCTTATTAGCATTCACAAATGATACCTTGGAAATTAATACAGGATTTAAAAAACAGTTTTAGGCTGGATCTACGAGGGTTGAATGAAAAGTAATGCCTCCACCTTCATTACTTGATATAAAACACATAATAAATACATCCATATACATTAAAATAGTTCACACACACACACACACACACACACGGGTTGAATGAAAAGTAATGCCTCCACCTTCGTTACTTGGGTTTGGATGGGAATATTTTAATAAATCAAATGCAGAAAAAATCCTTAGAATGTGCTCTTTAACTACCACTATTCACTTTTCAACATAATCACCAGACAATTGGATACATTTCTGCCAACGATGAACAAGTTCTCTGAAGCCATCACAGAAGAAGTTGACACTCTGTTTCCCATTGTGCACAGATCTTCCGGTAGCCAAGCAAAGCAATAATATGACTCACACGTTCTTGTGAAATGCTGATTATGCTTGAAATTTCTCTCTGAGTGATATGACAATCATCCTGAATCAATCTGTCAACCTTTTGTTTGTGAAACTCGGTGATTGCTGTCACAAGATGTCCAAATCTTTGTTTGTCACGCAAGTCAGATATGCACACCTCAACATCTTAAAACTTACTCAACCAGCGACGCACAGTACTCACATCAACACAATCACCATAAACAGCTTGCATTCTCTGATGAATTTCTTTGGGGTGACACCTTCTGCTGTCAAGAATTCAATTTAGTGTAATCCATGGATACAGAGCACCAACTGTACTTCCCATAGCCTGGATCCAAACCATCATGGCCCCTTCTACACTGCCATACAATCCAGATTATCAAAGCAGATCATCTTTGCAGATGCACATTGCTTAAGTCGCATTGACTGACCATCTGCGCAACGTTCCATACTTCGCACTATAACAAACAACCGTTCAATGCTAAGGCTTCCCACCAAAATGGAACTGTAGAGGAGAGTCTACTGAACAAGCCAGTACCTGCCGCATACCAGTACTGCCATCTGTTGAGGTGTCACGAAGGTGGAGGCATTATTTTTCATTCAACCCTCGTACCATACAATACAGTTTCTGAATCCAAATTATCTGCTTTGAACTGGATTATGTGAGATAATCTGGATTCAGAAACTGGATTACTATATATGGTAGCATAGATGGGGCCTTAGAAGGGGCAGAGTTGAGTCTTAGAATGGGCATAATGTCTCCTACTTGGCTCTGAGTCAGAGTGCTTGATATTATGCTAGAGTAGTGGTTCTCAACCTGGGGTCCCCAGATGTTTTTGGCCTACAACTCCCAGAAATCTCAGCCAGTTTATCAGCTGTTAGGATTTCTGGGAGTTGTAGGCCAAAAACATCTGGGGACCCCAGGTTGAGAACCACTGTAAGTCAATCAAAGGTCTTCTCTCTATTGGAAAGCACAGAAGGAGAAACAATTTGAGTTCTGAGACAATCTTATAGCCACCAGCTTGAATGGAATCAGCACAGGATGAGAACCCCTTATCTGGAATTCAGAAATCCAAAATACTCCAAAACCTGTGCAAAATAGGATTTCTCTTGTGTAGGCAGAAATGTGTATCTCTGAATCTTTTTTTAATGTGTATATAGAGATCTTACCTCTTCTTCAGGAACTTCATAGACATCTGAAACAGAAAATAGCCAGATTATATGAAATTAGAAACCGAAGCAAAATTAAATATGCACATGGAAAATAAATGTAGGGATAGCACAAAGGAGACTTGATTGTGTCCTGCTTGGAACATTGGAAGGCACTTTATCACCTCTCAGCATTGATGTGTTCACTCAAATGTAGTGAACACGTAAACCCTTAGATGGAGTAGCTTCATTTGCAACTGGTCCACTTCTAGAATTCAGACTACTGACCTATAAACCTCTATGGTCCCTTCTACACTGCCATATAAAATCCAGATGATCTGCTTTGATAATCTGGATTATATGACAGTGTAGAAGGGGCCATAATGGTTTCGATCCAGGCTATGGGAAGTACAGCTGGTGCTCTGTATCCATGGATTCCACTAAAAAATCCCCCCCCAATCCAAAAAATAAACATAGATATAAATAGAGGTGGAGGCTGAATAGTAGTATAATAGTAGTAGTAGTACTAGTATAACTTCTAGTGGTATCAGCCATCCAGTTTGTTACTGGGACTGTAGTATTCATTGACTTTCATTAACTTAAGGGGAACCACTTAAACATGATAAGCATCAGTGTATTGTCAAAGGCTTTCATGGCCGGAATCACTGGGTTGGTGTAGGTTTTTCGGGCTGTATGGCCATGTTCTAGAAGCATTCTCTCCTGACATTTCGCCTACATCTGTAGCAACCATCCTCAGAGGTTGTGAGGTTTACTGAGGATGCTTGCCACAGATGCAGGTGAAATGTCAGGAGAGAATGCTTTTCAAACATGACCACACAGCCCGTAAAACCTACAACAACTCAGTAATTATGGAGTTTGCCATTTTATACAAAGTGCACCATTTTACCATACCATCCAAAATAATGGGATTTAAGCATCCATGAATGTTGGTATCCATATGGGGTCCTGCAATCAAATCCCAGTGAATACCACTGTATTTTCTTCTATCTCGTCTCTCTATCTGCAATTCTAGCATACATTGCATGGTAGAATTAATTTATGAAGGAAGACTTTCTCTTGGCCCCACCACAACCATAGACAACACAGGAAAGAGACTTTAGTAGCTACTCTCAGGCTAAATCTACACTGCCCTATATCCCAGGAACGGATCCCACATTATCTGCTTTGAACTAAATTATTTGAGGTCTCTTCCACACTCCACACTCTTCCACACAGCTGAATAAAATTCCACATTATCTGCTCTGAACTGGAATATATCACAGTATGGACTCAGATACCCCAGCTCAAAGCAGATATTGTAGAATTTTCAGCCTTGATATTCTGGGATATATGGCTGTGTGGAAGGGCCCTGAGGGGCTGTAAAGGTAACGTTCTGGCCAAACCGGAATTAATTTCCCACAAACCAGGAAAATCCTGCTCTGTGGCGAATTAATTTGATAGTGGGTTTATTCCATGCTTTCTTGAAAGTTGCGGGATAAACCCACTACTTCCAGTGACTGGACTGCAGAATACTGCAGTCCAGATAGTATTCCCAGTTTTCCGGTCCACACTCTTGTTAGATCCTGAATAGATTACTGCAACACGCTCTACATGGGGTTGCCTTTGAATACTGTTCGGAAACTCCAACAACTCCAACGGGCGGCAGCTACAATACTCACTGGAGTGTCCTACCGGGAGCACATCATCCCCCTGTTATGTCAGCTCCACTGGTTGCTGGTCCAGTTCCGAGCACAATTCAAAGTGCTGGTCTTGACCTATAAAACCCTATACAGTTCTGGCCCAGCATACTTGTTGGAATGTATCCCCTGGAGCACTGCAGCATCCCACTGGAGCATTGCAGCATACCCAGATACCCGGGAGTCACTGTGGACCATGCTCTTACCTACAAGAAGCACTGCTGAACATCAAGCAAAAAGTGGGTGCTAGAAACAATATCATATGAAAGCTGACTGGCACAACCTGGGGATCACAACCAGACACAGTGAAGACATCTGCCCTTGCGTTATGCTACTCTGCTGCTGAGTACTCATGCCCAGTGTGGAACACACCTCACCACACTGAAACAATAGATGTGGCTCTTAATGACACATGCCACATTATCATGGGGTGTCTGCGCCCCACACCACTGGAGAAATTACACTGCTTAGCCGGTATTGCACCACCTGACATCCACCGGGAAGTAGCAGCCAATAGTGAAAGGACCAAGGCAGAGACATCTCCAGCTCATCCCTTGTTTCGGTATCAGCCAGCACGTCAATGATTTAAATCTAGAAATAGTTTTCTAAGATCTACAGAGACACTTGCTGGAACACCTCAGCAAGCGAGAGTCCAAAAGTAGCAGGCTCAAACCCAGAACCTCAACCAATGGCTGATACCAAATGAGAGACTCCCCCCTGGGCACACAGAAGACTGGGCAACTTGGAAGGCACTGAACAGACTGAGCTCTGGCACCACGAGATGCAGAGCCAACTTCAAGAAATGGGGCCACAAAGTGGAATCCATGACATGCGAGCGTGGAGAAGAGCAAACCACTGACCACTTGCTGCAATGCACCCTGAGCCCTGCCACATGCACAAAGGAGGACCTCCTTGCAGCAACACCAGAAGCACTCCAAGTGGCCAGATACTGGTCAAAGGACATTTAATCAACTACCAAACTTGCAAATTTTGTGTTTTGTCTGTTTGTTTGTTTGTTTTGTTCTGTTAGAAATGTAACACAATTGACTGGTTGCCCTGACACGACAAATAAATAAGCAGAAGGATTTTTTAATGGGATGTGCTAATGGGACCCTTACCTTCTTTATGACATCTGAAATGGATTCTAAACAATTTAAACTAGTATAGTTAAAAGGATTGTTTATTTTTGTGTTTTCTAAATCTTATATTTTTAGCTTTACTTTAACTTCAGTTGAGATCTGCCATTGATCCAATGTTGAGTGAAAGGCAGGATACACACACATATACAAGTGGCACATGTAAAACTAGCTTATGTTTACGTTTTCAGGGCCTAAATCACTTGAAAGTTACAGTCAGCACTTTAACTTGGACCTAAAAATAGAATGGAATGTATAATAAATTCAGTTTTCAGTTGTGGCAAATGACATTAAGTTAAAATACCATCTAGGACACGAGTATATGTATTACTCCCAGAGACCACTAGGGGGCAATGTTTTATTAGAGCAGCATAAAAAAATTATTATTAACTCCCTTGAAAACTCATGGATTACATGAACATATACTGCTGCGCACTTAATAAAAAGCTCCTCTTTTAGGTGCTAATCCCCCCTGCATATATGTAATGAACCTACAGTTAGCATTAAAGCCAATTTATGATTGAAAAATCAATCCTGGGGATGCAGTAAATGAAGTGCTCCATAAAACTTGCTGTGATTCAAAGTGTTTGTATGAATGTATTGTCGAAGGCTTTCATGGCCGGAATCACTGGGTTGTTGTAGGTTTTTCCAGGCTATATGGTCATGTTCTAGAGGCAATTTTTCTCCTGACATTTCTCCTGCATCTATGGCAAGCATTCTTAGAGGTAGTGAGGTCTGTTGGAAGTAGAAAAATGGGTTTATATATCTGTGGAATGACCAGGGTGAGACTAAGGACTTTTGTCTGCTGGAGCTAGGTGTGAATGTTTCAACTGACCACCTTCATTAGCATTTAATGGCTTGGAAGTGCCTGGGGGGAATCTTTTGTTGAGTGATTTGATGTGCCTGACTGCTTCCCCTCTGTTGTTTTGCTGTTGTAATTTTTGAGTTCATAGGGTAGGTATAAGTAGAAACAAATATGCCAGCAATTAACAACAAAGGCCCCATCTACACTGCCATATAATCCTGTTTCTAAATGCAGATTAACTGCATTGAAATTGATTAAATGATTGTGTAGCTTCATATAATCCAGATCAAACCAGTTCATCTGCATTCAGAAACTGGATTACATGGCAGAGAAGATCCAGCCAAACAAACCAAAACCTCATTAATAGCTACAGAAGCAGGCCATCTCTTTAAAGTGGGATGAGCAACTGCAAAACATAGCGAATGGTGTTCTGAATATCCAGCACATTTGAATGAAAGCACTCTATAGATACAATTTAGGTTGGATCTACACTGCTGTACAATGCATTTTGAAATCGCATTATATGGCAGTATAGATCTTTTTTTTAATACAGGGTCTGAAAATGGGAACTTTTTCTTCCAGATGGCATCCAGGGAGCAACATTCTTTGTGTCCCTTAGAGACCTCTATGTGACCTCTTTTCTCTAATATTTTGTGTATCCTGAATGAACATTTGCACCATTGATGAATTCTAGGCATTTCCATAGAAATTTTGCAATACAAATTTTCCATACCTAATGCAGAAGGAGACAGAGGCTTGGGAGGTAATATGGACGAACTGGGAGGATCAGGCTTTGATGTAGGCTTGATAGATCTGTTCACCACTGGGGCTTAACATACAAAGAAAACAAATATAAATTGGTACACATACATGTCATGTTGAAGTCATAAATAACATGAGACAGGAATATATAGATTTTTTCGGGGGGTACGTTTTTTTGCTATTTGCCCATGCTATAAAATTGCTGTTTTTATATCATAAACAATGTGCAATGTCCTATCATTTGGAGCAACGTTTAAGTATGTTTTAAGTCAGAGTTTTCCAAATGTTAGTGTGTTGGATGCAGTATGTAGATGTGTCATGTGAAACTAACAAGAAACCTCTGAGGCCCCATTTAAATTGCCACCGTGGCACAATGGGTTAAACTTTTGTGTTGCTGAACTGCTGACCTGAAGGTTGGCAGTTCGAATTCGCAAGATGGGGGAGCTCCCATCTGTCAGCTCCAGCTCCTGCCAACATAGCAGTTTGAAAACATGCAAATGTGATTAGATAAATAGGTACCGCTTCAGCGGGAAAAGGCAAAGAGATGCTCCAAGCAATCTTGCCGGCCACACAACAATGAAGTGACAATGCAGGCGCCTTGGCTTGAAAATGGAGAAAAGCACCTCTCCAGAGTCAGAGATGAGCACTGGCTCCAGAAGCCGGAAATGAAAAGAGAAGCCTTTGCCTTTGTTTGTGTGTTTCATTGTATGTGACTGTAAAGGGATTGAATGTTTGCCTAGGTATTTAAATGCTGTAATCTGCACTGAGTCCCCTACGGGAGAAGGGCGGAATATAAATTATTATTATTATTATTATTATTACTACTACTACTACTACTACTACTACTATTATTACACTACCATATAATCCAGCTTCTGAATCCATATAATCTGCTTTGGGATGGATTATAGGGCAGTGTAGGTCCAGCCTGAGTTTATATGAAATAAGCAATAAATCATATATTTTCAAAAATATAAATGAAAGGTTTTAATGAGATATGTTGTGTTCCCATAGGTTTTGCTATTACAGTTGATGTATGTGCCAGTATCATTTATAAGGTGTTGGTTTAACGTCCAGTTTGCTAGGAAAACTGAATTACTGTGTTGCAAAGTGGTGCGTGTTCAAAAAGTATCTCACCAACATGAAATAGCTTTGCTTTAAGCAGTATTTTACCTATGCCTTTGGTAAAAACTATACAGGTCAAAGTGAGACAACTAGAGTCCTTTTGTACACAATCATAGCACTATGATTCCACTTTAACTTCCCTAGTTTAATTTTTTGCAATTGTGGAATTTCTAGTTCTACTCCAAACTCTAGGATTCCATAGGATGTTGCCATGGCAGTTAAAGTGGAATCATAGTGCTATATGAGAGTTGAATGAAAGGTAATGCCTCCACCTTCCTAACTCCTCAACAGATGACAGTACTTGCAGCAGGTACTGGCTTGTTCAGTAGACTTTCCTCTACAGTTCCATTTTGGTGGGAAGCCTTAGCATTGAACGGTTGTGTTATTAAAGTGCGAAATATGAAACCCTGGGCAGACGGTCAGTCAATGTGACTTAAGCAACATGCAGTCATTGAATTCTTGAGAGCCCAAGGTGTCACCCAAAGGAGATTCATCAGAGAATGCAAGCTGTTTATGGTGATTGTGTTGATGTGAGTACTGTGTGTCGTTGGGCGAGTAAGTTTAAGGATGTTGAGGTGGGAACATCTGACTTGCATCACAAACAAAGTCGGACGTCCTGTGACAGCAACCACCAAGTTTCACAAGCAAAAGGTTGACAGATTGATTCAGGACAATTGTCATATCACTCAGAGAGAAATTTCAAGCATAATCAGCATTTCACAAGAACGTGTGGGTCACATTATCGCTTTGCTTGGCTATTGGAAGATCTGTGCATGATGGGTTGCGGAAACAGAGTGTCGACAGCTTCAGAAAACGTGTTCATTGTTGGCAGAAATGTATCCAATTGTCTGGTGATTATGTGGGAAAATTAATAATGGTATTGAAAGCACACATTCTAAGGATTATTTCTGTGTTTGATTTATTAAAATATTCCCATGCAAACCCAAGAACGAAGGTGGAGGCATTACTTTTCATTCAACCCTCGAAGTTATCTAGCATGAAAGGGACCAAGTTCAGAAAACTGCACACCTGCAGAATATAGCATAATTTCCAGAGCATAATTGAGTGTTATGCACAGAACCCCAGAATACTAATTAAAAGAACCAGTAAGAATACAGCCCTTATCATTTTGTTCTGGAAGTGGGTTGAAAATGTACAGAAATCTGTTTGCAAAGTTTAAATTGGGCCTATGTTTCTCTGTGTGTGTTTTCAAGTCACCTGTATGTTTATGGCAATCTTGTGAGTTTTGTTAATGTCATAGGATTATTTTACATGCAGATTTGTCAGTTTTTAAACCAGTACCATATTTGTTTGCTTTCATATTTGTTTAGTTTGCGGGAATATTTGGTTCTCTTCAAAAGAAACAGCCACAAAAATTTAATTTGCAGGTACTGGTCTAACAATAGCCTTTTGGAGTCTTTCTGAGTAGGATAGAAATCCATTCTGATACATATCAGTACTACTATAATTAATTCATCTCCATGAAACTTTGGCCCCTTCTACACTGCCATATAATCCAGATTATTAAAGCAGATAATCCTCAACAAATGGCAGTACTGGTATGCGGCAGATACTGGCTTGTTCAGTAGACTCTCCTATACTCTCTATTATCTGTTTTGAACTGGATTATCTGAGTCTACACTGCCATATAATCCACTTCAAAGCAAAGAATCTGAATTTTTATGGTGGTGTAGAAGAGGCCTGTGTATAAAATAATCCAAATAGTTACGTTTTTCAGGCTGTGGTGGGCTTTCTTCGGTGGGCTCAATATAATTATCTTCTTCATCATCAACAGGTATAACGTAATCTGCCTGAGGGAACAAAAAGAGATGAATTAATATAGAATTGGTATAATGCAGGGTATAATACAGCCATTATATTATTTCTCTCCTCAGTGTAGAGCTCTAAGCATGACCGTAAACTCCTTACTTGAACCAAATGAGACTTAACTTTGCTCATATTGCAGTTGCATATCCCTTATTGGTTTTTTTTTATCGTGTCAGGAGCGACCTGAGAAACTGCAAGTCGCTTCTGGTGTGAGAGAATTAGCCGTCTGCAAGGACGTTGCCCAGTGGACGCCTGGATGATTTTGATGTTTTTATCATCCTTGTGGGAGGCTTCTCTCATGTCCCTGCATGAGGAGCTGGAGCTGATAGAGGGAGCTCATCCGCCTCTCCCTGGATTCGAACCTGCGACCTGTCGGTCTTCAGTCCTGCCGGCACAGGGGTTTAACCCACTGCGCCACCGGGGGCTCCTATCCCTTATTGGTGACAAACCAATAGTTTGTGTCATTGCTGCATCTCTCTAGCCCGGCAAAGTCATTAATAAGTAATAAATAATAAGCACCAAGCGACCAATTACTGCGATAGTTCTCACCTTCCTAATGCCATGACCCCTTAATATAGTTCATCGTGTTGTGGTGACCCCCAACCATAAAATTATTTTCGTAGCTACTTCATAATTGTAATTTTGCTACTGTTATAAATTGTAATGCAAGCATCTGATACGCAGGATGTATTTTCATTCACTGGACCAAATTGGGCACAAATACCTGATACATCCAAATTTGAATACTGATGGGGCTGGGGGAGGATTGACTTTGTCATTTGGGAGTCGTGTTGCTGGGATTTAAAGTTCACCTACAATCAAAGAGCATTCTGAACTCTATCAATGATGGAATTGAACCAAACTTGGCACACAGAATTCCCATGACCAATAGAAAATACTGGAAGGGTTTGGTGGGCAATGACCTTGAGATTTGGAGTTGTAGTTCACCTACATCTAGACAGCATCGTGTACTCAAATAATGATAGATCTGGATAAAACTTGTCACGGATACTCAATATGCCCAAATGTAAACACTGATGGAGTTTTGGGAAATTTTGGGAGTTGTAGTTGCTGGGATTTATAGTTCACCTACGATCAAAAAACATTCTGAACTCTACCAATGATGGAATTGAACCAAACTGGACATGCAGAACTCCCATGACCAATAGAAAATACTGGAATGGTTTGGTGGGCATCGACCTTGAGTTTTGGAGTTGTAGTTCACCTACATCCAGAGAGAAATGCAGACTCAAACAATGATGGATATGGATCAAACTTGGCACGGATACTCAATATGCCCAAATGTGAACACTGGTGGAGTTTTGGGAAAATTTGGGAGTTGTAGTTGCTGGGATTTATTATTCACCTCCAATCAATGAGCATTCTGAATCCCACCAATGATAGAATTGGGCAAAACTTCCCACACAGAGCTACCATGACCAACAGAAAATACTGTGTGTTGTAGGTTTTTCCAGGTTATATGGCCATGTTCTAGAGGCATTTTCTCCTGACGTTTCGCCTGCATCTATGACAAGCATCCTCAGAGGTAGGTTATATGGCCTCTAGAACATGGTCATATAACCCGGAAAACCCTACAACAACCCAGTGATTCCGGCCATGAAAGCCTTCGACAAGAAAATACTGTGTTTTCTGATGGCCTTTGCCGATCCCTCTGACACCCCCTCGCGACCCCCCCAGGGGTCCCGACCCCCAGGTTGAGAAACGCTGCATTCTGTATCGTTGAAAACATTCATGCTGAGATCATTAATTATAAATACAGTGATTATATTTTTCATCATCATCATCAAAAGAAAAAAAACAGGTTTTGACATTCATCTTCTGCCATTGATTTTGAGGCAATTTAACAGTAGCTTTTATCATCTCACTCTGCTGTGTATACTACAAATATATGAAGCTCTTTGCTAATGGTAAGCAGAACAGTTCTCAGAAATAGGCAAGGCCTTTCCATTCCTGAAACATGTGTGAGTGGAGAAAGAGAAATGCGATTAATTTACATAATAGGTGAATGAGCCTCAGGAAATGAGAGAAGCCTATCCTCCTTTCTTATGTGCTGCATGTTTCATCATGCGCGTCAGACAATTTGTTTTGAAGGTTGACATGACTAGGCTCTGGACCTAATGAATAACCTGATTTATTTATTAACTGTTACCTCATCATCATTTAGCTTCGGTGGAAGTTTTGGCTTCAGAGCAGCAGATGGTGGCGGCATAGTAGCCGCTTTCTTCACTGTTGATGAAGACTGGCTTGGCAGTGTAGGCAATGGTTTCGAGACGGGCCAAGGCTTCTGTTGGCTTGACCGTTTATTGTCTATAAACAAGAAACAGGAAAAGAATGAAAAGAATGAAACTTAATTTTTAGAACACTGTCTGCACCCCTTTCCATTATTTTTGGAAGCAGGTTGTTTTCCTGTATGTGTCCACTCATAGAATCATAGAAGAGACCTTCTGGGCCATCCAGTCCAACCTACAACAAGGAGAAGGAAAAATCACACTCAGTGCACCCCTGACAGATAGCCATCCAGCCTCTGCTTAAAAGCCCCCAAGAGAGAGCCTCCACCACACTCCGGGGCAAGGAGACCCCGGTGGCGCAGTGGGTTAAACCCCTGTGCCGGCAGGACTGAAGACCAACAGGTTGCAGGTTTGAATCCGGGGAGAGGCGGATGAGCTCCCTCTATCAGTTCCAGCTCCTCATGCGGGGACATGAGAGAAGTCTCCCACAAGGATGATAAAAACATCAAATCATCCAGGCATCCCCTGGGCAACGTCCTTGTGGACGGCCAATTCTCTCACACCAGGGGTCACTCCTGACATGACAAAACAAAACAAACAAACAAACAAAAAACTCCAGGGCAGAGAAATCCACTGCTGAACAGTACTCAAATGTAGGAACACAAATGTAGGAATTATATAATAATAATAAAACTTTATTTATATACCACTCTATCTCCCCGAGGGGACTCAGAGCGGTTTCCAAGTCACATCATCAATACATACATAGTAAACAACATAACCATAAGATTAACAAAACAATCTATATAAATAAAAATGTAATGTTCGCTTGTGGGATTAACAGAACTCGAAAACCACTGGGGGAATTGACACCAAATGTGGACAACATACACCTAACAACCCAATGTATGTCCTTCACTCAAAAAAAATTGAGTTTGTCATTTGGGAGTTGTAGTTCAGGGATTTATAATTCACCTACAATTAAAGAGCATTTTGAACTCCACCAATGATGGAATTGAACCAATCTTGGCAGATAGGACTCCCATGACCAACAGAAAACACTAGAAGGGTTTGGTGGGCATTGACCTTGAGTTTGGGAGTTGTAGTTCACCTACATCTAGAAAAACTGTCGACTCAAACAATGATGGATCTGGACCGAACTTGACACGAATATTCCATATGCCCAAATATGAATACAGATGAAGTTTGGGGGAAATAGACCTTGACATTTGAGAGTTGTAGTTACTGGGATTTATAGTTCACCTACAATCAAAGAGCATTATGAATCCCACGAATGATAGAATTGGGTCAAACTTCCCACACAGAACCTACATGACCAACAGAAAATACCATCCAACTCCCTTCACGAAAAAAGTAATCAAAGCCCTCTTGACAAAGAGCCATCCAGCCATAGATATAGATAGATAGATATGATTTCCCACACACACAGATATAGTATCATAGATTTGAAAAGGACCCCTAAAGAAGGACAATTTTATGTTGCATATTCCAGAGTAGACAAACCATACAATCTCCACATCAACACTGACAAAGAAACAACAAGAAATACTGTTTACCCACAAGCATAAAGAAATTACATATATTAGAAGCCATCACTTTCTCATTACTTTATTTTCCAGATCATCAGACTGAGCCACAGCAACGCATGGCAGGGGATGGCTAGTATAAGCATAAAAATGGCCCCTAAGGCAATTTAAAAGGCCGGGTCAAGTTTAGTGCAAGCTCAAAAATTCTAGGGGGCCCGGGAATTACGTGCAGTGCTATAGCAGGCAACAACAATAATAGGTACGGGTCTATGTCTGTTCATTTCCGGGACCTATTAGAGGAAGTGACCTGGGTAACTGGTAGGAAGAATAAGGCCATAGTCAACAATGTCTAGGGCTGAGCTAGAGCTAGTCATTCTCAAAAGCTTGTAGAAACCACCAGGTCTTCAGGCTCTTACGAATTGAAGATTTCAGTGGTATGTGCTCCTAGTTAAATGCACATTGCAATATCACAGAAGAAAAATGTATACATGCCTCTGTAGGTATAATTCCCACTGAATTCAATTAAACTTAATCCCAGCTAAGATACCATAAAGGCTTACAGCTTTATTCTCTTTCTAGAATTAGATTGGTTTCATATGTGAGCCTGGTGCAGAGGAATTGGAAGTGAAAGTGCACTGTGGTTCCCATTCCTTCATATCTCAATTTGATTTGTATTAGATTGCATAAGACTAGATATACTTTTTTTGCAGGTGCCACATCTAAAGTGATGTGTGGGTGTGACATATTTCAGTCAGTCAGCCTTTATTTCGGTCAACAAACCATTGGCTACGTCAAGTGAAAGTAGAATAATGGAATACAACATTTAAGTAATTAATAACATCACATTTGGTTTATGATTAATAAAAATAAGTATTACCATTCGCTATCGGTTTAATGACTGTCTTTATAATCTAAAGCAGGAACTGATTGCCAATTAATAAATCCCAGCAAACAACATTTTCACTTGAAATATTTGCTAGTATTCGAGCAAAAGGAGTAGCCTGAAAATTTCCTGAAGTGTCAAATACAATATGTAAACTTCTACATATACAGAGGTATTGTCCTAAAGCAGAGCTTTCCAAACCATGTGTCTTACTGCAATGTGTAGTTGTGTCACATGAATATAATGAGAAACCTCTTGTATCTGTGAAATAAATGAGCCAGCTTTAGCACAGCAGGTTAATCACCAGCTGCAGCTGCAGTAAGTCTTGCCAACAGAAAGGTTGACAGTTTGAAGCCGGGTCAGGGTGAGCTTCTGACCTTCAGTCCAGCTCCCCCGCCCACTTAGTGGATCAAAAATAGCAATGTAAGTAGATGAATAGGAACTGCATTAAGCGGGAAAGTATTTTAGTCACGCCATTTCAGAAAGAAGTTTACAAACAAAGACAGTTTTTTTGGCAAGGAGATGGAGTGACCAAGCACAGCCTTCAAAAGATGCCAAATTATGAGAAAAAAGCCGATATATACATCCCTATCTGTCGTCTGTCTTGTCAGAAGATCCCTTTAGGTCAGAACTTTCCAAACATTTTGTGTTTGGTGACACACCTTTTTAGATGTGCATCATTTTGCAACACAGTAATTTGGTTTCACTAGCAAACCACATATATGGTTTGCTAGTGAAACCGAGCGCAGCCTCCAAAAGATGCCAAATGAGAAAAAAGCCTATATATACACCTCTATCTGATGTCTGTCTTGTCATTCTATAATTGGCATTGAATGTTTGCCGTAGATGTGTTCTGAGATCCACACTGAGTCCCCTTCGGGGAGAAAAGGGTAGAATGTAAGTACTGTAAATATTTTTTTAAAAAAACAAACAATAAATCATATATTTCTAAAAAATATAAGGAAATGTTTTCATGATATATGTTGTGTCCCATACATTTCATTATTATGACTTATATATGTGGCTAGGGTTAACCTTTGGTTTGATAGTGAAACCAAAGTACTGTGTTGCAAAATGATGCATATCTAAAAACACGAAATGTTTGGAAAGCTCTGACCTAAAGGGATCTTCTTCACAAAAATTCCATCTATAGGCTGCTGCTATTATTTTAAAATTGGGTACTATGAGAAGTCATAAAAAATCTGGCTTGGGTGACGATCAAAACAGCACCACTGAAAGCATCAGGTATTCCGATTCTCTTTATGTAAGATCTATTTTTAACATAGTTGTTTGGCATTTACTTCTGCTTCCTTTGGATACTATCTCAGTGATGATGTTCAGCAGAGAAGCAAGTATGAGGAATGAGACAGCATTATTACCTGCATATTCTCCTCCAGAACAGGAGAAGGCTGCTGGAAGTTGTTTCTTTTCTTGCTCGCTTGGAGGTGGCTCATAGCTGTCATCACAGTTCTCTTCAGAAGGAACCACGTATGTCTCAGAATCAGAGGGGTTATCAGGATTCTCATAATCGCTATCCTAGAAAAAGGATATGACCCATTTTAAGCCATTTTTTAAATGACACAACACACTTTGGGCTCAAAGTGATCCTTTTAATAATGTCAGAATATAGTTGATAGAGCAGGGTGGTGATGGTTTGAATGTTGGGTTTGGAAACTGGGACACTTGGGTTGGTATTCCTGAATGAGAAAGTACTCATTCAGTACCTTGGGCAAGTCACACTCTCTCGGCCTTAGAGGGAGGCATAGGCGTTCTGTCAAGAGAACCTTGTTTTTGGGTTGCCTTACTGTTACCTTAAATCTGAAATTACCTGAAGTTACACAACAATGACAACAAATATGAACAGTTACTCTCCAAAATCCATTATCTCTGTCTTGACATTTTTTATTGACTCCTTTTTTTGGGCATAGGTTCATTGTGTTTTAATATACTAAGCCCACAATCATATTATCTGTGTTTCATTTCCCCATTATTTATTTACTTTTCTTTCCTCCATCTTCTTTTTTGCACTTATGTTAAGATAGATCAGATTGATAGATAGTTAAAAGTTTATATTTGGATATGTATATTAATCACCCTTGACTCTCATGATAAACTGTAAATTAGCTACAACACAAATAATTTTTTATCATTTACTAACTAGTCAAGCACAACTCTTTACTCATTTCAACACTCCCACACTAAATGGAAAATCAACCCACACAAAAAAAAATCGTCGAAGGCTTTCATGGCTGGAATCACTGGGTTGTTGCAGGTTTTTTGGGCTATATTTTACCTGCATGTATGGCAAGCATCCTCAGAGATTGTGAGGTCCTCAGAGGATGCAGATGAAATGTCAGGAGAAAATGCTTCTAGAATATGACTATATAGCCCGAAAAACCTACATAGCCCCCCAAAAATTATGATGGAGATGCAGGAGAAATATGTGTACATCTGTTTATGGACAACAAGCCAAAAAGGAATTCTAACAACGAAACACTAACATTTTTGCTGATGACACGTCAATGGCTTTTAATTAACTTTATCTCTCGCTGTCTCTGTTCCTCTGAGTGAGTGATGATTATATAGTAGTCTCGCTTATCTAACATAAACAGAGCACTAGAATGTTGGATAAGCAAAAATGTTGGATAATAAGGAGGGATTAAGGAAAAGCCGATTAAATGTGAAATTATGTTGTGATTTTACAAATTAAGCACCAAACCTTCATGTTTCACAACAAATCGACAGAAAAAGCAGTTCAATACACGCTAAAGTTATGCAGTAATTACTGTATTTACGGATTTTGCACCAACAGATCGTAATGTATTGAAACAGCTGTGGATCAGGGTGTGAGGTAGTCTGTGTTGGATAAGCGAAAGTTGGATAAGCGAGACTCTACTGTAGTTATGACTTCTTTTTCCTCCAGTGAGCTTAAGGCAGTGTTTTAGATTTTGGAATATCCATCTTTGCATAGACATACTTAATGAAATATATCTTGGAGAGGCAACCCAAGTCTAAACATGAAATTCATTTATGTGCCATATATGGTAGATCTTGTACACATAGCCTAAATATAAATTTATGTAATATTTTAAAATACTTTTCTGCATGAAACAAAGTTTGTGTATATTGAACCAACAGAAAACCAACAGTGTGGCTAGTTTTGGATTTTAGAGTATTTCAAAATTAAAGTAAGACGCCATGACCCAGATTAGTGTGGTTTTAGATGTGTGATTGTTATACTTACAAAATCTGACCACTGTTCCTCGTCTTCTGCAAAAATGAAAAATTAATTTGTTAGCCAAAATCTTTTTTCAAAGCACATATTAGCCTGTTGCAAACGCACCTACACATTGAGTATCCCCTAGCCAAAATGTTTGGGAGCAGAAGTGTTCTGTATTTTGGAGTTGGGTTTTTTTGGGGACTTTGGAATGGTTGCATATAGATAACAAGGTCTCTTGAAGATGAAATCTAAGTCTAAATGTAAAGTTCCTTTAAGTTTTGTAGTCACCTATCTGGCAGTGACTAGCTACCTCTGAACTTAAATCCCTATTGTTACAGGAAATCAATGTTCCATAAAATAAAAGGAAAATAAGGCATTTTGTATAGTCTGAGCTTTTGAATTTAAACTTTTAATCATATCCAGAATAGCCTTTCTCAAAGTGTAGCCTCCAAATATTAGTACCTTTCACTGAGAGCTTGATAAATACTACTTTTGAAGCCAAGGGCTTGTTTTGGTTTAATCTTGAGAGAAGGAACATTTCTACGGCTTGTCTGTTCATGTTTAATCACACAGAAAGTATTTCCAATGTTTTCATTGCACTGCTTAGTATTAGTATTACACACATGCCCATTATGCTCAATTATGCAATTGAGGCCCTCTTACAGTACATTTAGTATTCACTAAGAGAATCTTGAAATCTTCCTCAAGTAATGTGAGAGCCACTTTTCAATAGGTGGTTTCCATACCCATTAAATATCCCATCCACGAGAAAGTTGTATGAACTTGAACTGTAGAATTGGCTCCCATCCCACGAAGAAATGTCTCTTACTTTATACATACATATATGAGCCTTGTTTAGCAAAATGTCTGCAACTATTTAGTAAACAGCTTTTTAAAAAATCATATCCATACCGTAGTCTACAGGTGGTACACTGGGAGGAGGTGGTTTGCTTGTCAGCCTGTGAACAGTACAAGTAATATATTTAATTTCTGAAGCATTCAGTAAGAGTTGCGTGGCAACAAATGGCTGTCAAAAAGCAAAACAAAATTAAGCTTATGACATCAGACTCCTATAGTTAATGAAAGTTTAAAGACACTTAGCAAGAGGAACATAACAACGCACGTATCTACACAATTCTATCCAAAGGATGCTTCTACGCACATGCATGACTACTTCTGAAAGGAAAGACAAGGCATAGATTGTTAGTTTGTTAGAATGTAATATGGAGAATTCAAATTAGCACATGGTTCCTATAACTGTAATGTGAAGCTTTAGGCTGAAATGCACTCAGCATTTCTTGTGTATTCCAATCTCAAATAAGATGTCTCATCCTCAGACTGATGTCCAACTTTATTGGGTTCTAATCTGACTTTCTGCTGAAGTTTCAAGTCTGTCATGCATAAAAATGAAGGTGTGCAAATCTGCTCATGTATGAGTTGCCAGTAGATGGGGAATCCCTCCAAGTTGGGTAGAAGCCTACATCATTTTAGGCAATTCTTCCCAACATGCCGCCTCACATAGTTTGGGCCCCATGGGGGAAAATTTAGAATGGTTTCAAATTGCTTCAGAGAGGGCCGGGCTTTAGAACAGCAGGTTAAATCGCCAGATACAGAAAATCCTGCCGATTAAAATGTCGACAGTTCAAGCCCGGGTTGGGGTGAGCTCCCACCATCGGCCCACCTTCTGCTTACCTAGCAGTTCAAAAACAGTAATGTGAGTAGATAAATAGATACCGTTTTGGCGGGGAGGTAATAAAAGACGCTCATGCAGACATGAAGGTGATTTCATTGGGAGAGCGTCTAAAGACAACAAAGCTCCTCGGCATGGAAGATGGAGCTATAACACCCCCCACCCCTTGGCCAGAGTCAAGCACGGCTTCCAGATGCTAGAGATGGAAAAGGATGGGAAGCCTTTACCTCTGTTTATGTTTTGTCTGTCTTTGTTAATGATATAATTGGCATTTAATGTTGCTGTAAGTGTGTACTGTAATCTGCCCTGCGTCCCCTCAGGGAGATAGGGCAGAATATAAATAAAGTATATTATTATTATTATTATTATTATTATTATTATTATTATTATTATTATTATATTATTATTATTATTATTATTATTATTATTATTATTATTATTATTTGAAACAAACAAGATGAGTCCACAGCAGACACTCTGCTGGCTGTTGTATTGGATCACATGTCGGACACTTCCCAAGGTCTAGGACTGTGTGATGTATCGGCAAGTAATGTGTGCAGATCCCAGTAAGATGGCCTTCTGCAGCTGGCAGATAGTAATTTTGTCAGCACCGATTGTGTTTAAGTGCAGGCCAAGGTCTTTAGGCACTGCACCCAGTGTGCCGATCACCACTGGGACCACCTTGACTGGCTTGTGCCAGAGTTGTCGTCATCTTCATCATCATTAAAGAGATGCCAAACTTCTATGTCATAAACTTCCTTAAATTTGGATAAAAATGCTTGGATTATTCTTCTTGGATTAACAAACTAGAGAAATGAATAGAATTTTGTATTATGTCAGGTTGGCAAGTGCTCTTTTTGGCACGAAGCTGGCCTTTTTATCTCTCTTTTTATCCACCTTGTGCTGTTCTATTGTATTGCTGTCACGTAGGTTCAGCAACGTATCTCTGTGGATACAGGAGTTGTACTGTATATTCTTGAAAGCATGCTTTTAAGTACAAGGTATTATATTATGAAAATGGAGCATGCAGTGAAGTGCTAGTAAAGCATCCTCCAAAATTGACAGTTGGAAGGAGAAATATTCAGAGTTTCCATTTCTGGACTTCCAGGATTACAAAACCAACTCAAAGTTTGAAAAAGTGCATTTTAACACCATGTTGGGAGGTGTAGTAAAAAATCTCCTCCTCTTTCTAATCTTGGTAATTTTTAGTCCAGCTTTCTTGCAATCAGGACACTTGTAATCCAATACATTTGGAGCTTGGGAGATTCTGAGTCAGACAAAGCTTGGCAAAGTGACTAAGCCCACTGGGTAATTTTGGGAGAACTCGTATCAAGCTACGGGGCTAGACCATATTAAGTTTTTTGTGTGTGTCAGGAGCGACTTGAGAAACTGCAAGTTGCTCCTTATGTGAGAGAATTGGCCATCTGCAAGGACATTGCCCGGGGATGCCTGGATGTTGTACCATCCTGCGGGAGGCTTCTCTGCATAAGAATCGGGAGCTGAGAGATGGGAGCTCATCCCGCTCCAATTGGGTATAAATGAGAGGAGTGAATCTGAATGTTGCTTTGTAAACCAGAGACCTTGGAGAAAAACACAAAACACCATTACACTAAAAGCAGGCAACAGAACTCCATGCTGAACAACCAGAACATGTGCAATTCTTAAATGATCATACCGGTCCCATGTATTTTTTCCAGTTTTGCATATTAAGGCCACGTGTTCATTTTGGAACCTAAATATCAATAGAAGAAAAGGGAAAAAGGTTGTAGGTTTGTCAGCCTACAAAGGTTATACTTATCATGGCCTTGCTTATAAATTGAATTAAATCATGAATGCATCCTAGTCATAGTTGTTTAGTATCACTGAGGGACCGTCCAGACAGTACCTTTATTGTGATATCTACCACAATAAAGGAGGGACTGTCCAGACAATGTTCTGGACAGTCCCGAATTAATTTGGAAAAACCCTGCTTTGCAGAAAATTAATTAGATAGTGGGTTTATTATATGCCTTCTTGAAAGGCACAGGATAAATCTACTACTTCCAGTGTCTGGATTACAGTCCAGACACCATTCCCACAATTTACCAGGCTAAAAAAGCCCAGTAAACTGTGGGAATACCCACCCACTCCCCCCAAGCCCCCAGATCCCTTAGAAAAGTAATGGAAACTTACCCAGCCTCCATTACAGGCTTTGACCAGCTCTCCCAGCATGTAGTAATGATGCACCAGGAGAGTGGTGGTGGGGGGGAGGGGAGAGGAAAATCGCTCCTCCCCCTGTTCTCCTGGCACATCATTCGTATGCGGGAGAGCTGGCTGAAGCCTGCAATGGAGGCTGGGTAAGTTTCCATTACTTTTCTAAGAGGTATGGGGACTTGGGGGGAAGGGGTAGGGCCTCCGGTTGTTCTCTCAGGCTAGTTTTGAGAGAACGTCTGGACACCCACCTCAGAAAGCATGTGCTTTCAGGGGTGGGTGTAGACAGCCTCCTAGGAACATCCATGTTTTTAAAACGCAGATGCCTCTGGGATAAAAGGCTGTCTGGATCTGCCCTGAGTGAACAACTACACTTCTGTTCCTTTGTCAGTGGTTTTCAAACATTGGTCCTTCAACTGTTTTGGACTTCAGAAACTGCCCTGGTCAGTTTCTGCCCTGGTCAGTTTCTGAAGGGGCTGGGGAAGTGCAGACCAATGGGGTCCCACCAGGGAAATTTATCAGAAAATGTAATGGTCGCTGTTGTCCAGAATTCATAGCTAACTTGACCAAGGGATCCCGGAAGCTGAAGTCCAAAACATCTGTATGACCCAAGTTTTGGAACCACTACTTTGGATTCTAAAATATCCATCTGCGAGTTATTTAGTTGCTTCCTCTTGCCACAGATATCATGTAGTTGGCATTTAAGAGTGCAATTCCTGGGCATGATGATGTCTTCAATGCATGTTCTTCTCTGCTGAAGTCAATGAGATGACACCATAAGAGGTCATGCATCCTTGCTGAACTGGTTTGAGGATCAAAGCTATAAAACGTTTACAAGCTTGTTCATAAAAAGAACTGATGGCTAATTGAGTGAAGAACTGGTTGGGCTTGACTGTTGTGACTTTAAGAGATGCAGACAGTGATGCTTCTAATTGCATCAGGATATACATTATCATTTAGTAGCATCTACTGATGCCGTAGATGTTAAAGGGGCAGATGCAGGGCCCTAGAAAAAGAAGAATTCCCACATGATACAATTGCACAATTGTTAACAGACAACAAATTTGGCAAACAACAACAAATCTGCGTTTTCCTTCGCAACAAGGCCTTTTATTAACCCAAGAGAACATACGTGGACTTCAATTCATCATATATTATTATTATTATCGTTACTGATTTTACAAGATACAGATATTCCATCATGAATCACTGCTTCCTCTTGGTTTCAGGTCCGTTAAAAGTTATCACCACCCCCGTTCTTTTCATTGCTGCTTCCTCTTTCTTTCTATGCTTCAATTCATTTCCTTGACTTGCTCAGCATGGGGAAGCATCAGAGCGCAGCCAGCTTGCAAAATGTCACTGGGATGTTTCTGGCAGTCGTGCAAGGGTCACAAAATGGTGACCTAGTTCTAGGACTCAGAAATAGCTTTGCTGTTGCAGTCAAAACTTCCTCTTTTTTCTATTCAAAAGAACTCAAGTATTTGCTAAAGACAATTTTGGATTTAGTTATATTGGAACCTGCTAGCTTCCTGCTCACTTTATATCCCAACTTGAGAGATTGCTTAAGTGATACTTGGAAAGGTGTTAACATGACATCCTATGCACACAAGGCTATTCAGTCATTGTTTCTCAAGGGCTTATACATCAATAAAGAGCTCATTAAAACAGATTGTTGCCAGCTTCAGGACAACTCTTTCATTTAAATAGTAAGGACTTTTTTGGGGAAAGAAAAAACAGCTTGCCTTGTAATTGCAGCAGTTTGATGACAGAAGCTGTACTTTCATGATATCTCCCTTTCCATAAACACCTACTATTGCTTCACACCCTACTTATAAATAACTGGTTTCAGGCTGGGACTAGAAGCATCTTTTGTTTATTTTCCGCACCTCTACCTATTATTTTGCAATATGAGTGAGCAAAATCCACTCCTCCAAATTGACTGTAACCTACAAACACCCAGGTCACAGTGAGAAGTGGTTGGAGCTACAGTCCCATAATTCCACAGATGAAAACTGTGTCTAAGCAACATTAAAATATGGTCAAGATGGCAAAAATTATTAACGAAGATCACGCAGGTTAGGAAAGATTGTAGATGCTTGCTTATGCTTGAGCCTTTGGAAAAGGACAAGATTGTGGGTGACAGATGATTAAACATGACTGTCCCAGCCAAATCAGAATAGTTGCAGTGCTTCTCAACCTGTGGGTCCCTTGGTGTTTTGGCCTACAGCTCCCAGAAATCCCAGCCAGTCTACCAGCTTTTAGGATTTCTGAGAGCTGAAGGACCCACAGGTTGAGAACCACTGGGATAGTGGAAGGGTATGCTTGTTTGGAGGTTCTAAAAGGGGAGCACAGCTATCGTATACCCGGGACCAAAAACTGGAGACCTCGGTACACTCCTTCTATACCTGGGACGTCATCCTCTTCCACCGAGCGCGCAGCTTCGGGAGGGACGCACATGGAGCAGCGAGGGAGGAAGGGGACACCCACCTAGCCAGCCAGATCAGCCGAATCAACCCTAGCAATCAATGGGGTAACAGATGTCGCAGCCAGATCGCCCTCACATGCAAGGGTATGTAATTCTATAATATATGAAATTGCAGTGTATAACGAAGATCAAGGATATCTGGGGCAGGGGGGAACAAAGAATCCCACCGCTGCCACCAGTATAACGAAAATTAAAGCGTTGACCTTTCTGACTTTGGCAGGGGGGAAGACTTTTCAATCTCACCGCTGCCACCAGTATAACGAAATTAGCAGCTGACCATAGGTTAAATATATCAATGATCGATGTTATTGGTAGATATGACTGCCACCACCTCAGCTTTATTGGTCTGAGGAACCAAAAGGTGTGAGTGTGTTGTAGGTAAAGTGTATTTGCCCTTGGCTCTTCTATTACTTCTCCACTGGCCGACTGGACTTTAAAAGTACTTGACAGACTGAGGCTAACACCAGTTAAAAGTGAACTAGAAAAGGTTTATTAAACTTCAAGAGTATTTCGACTCATGGAATGAGTGGTAAAGAAACTTGATTCAGTTGTAGAGACTTATTATATTTAAATCAGGAGTTTCACTGACAATAAAGCTTTTAAAACTGTGAGATTCCTTAAACACACTGCTCTATTCTTAGAAACAGTATCACTTAGAGAACAGACTCCTGTCTGTCTCACACACCGGGCAATAAGCTCTCTTATACTTTCCCTAAGTATAAGAAGACAAGACTCTCTTTTACTGGTCTTCTCAACACAGTAAAACCCTAGTCCTTGTCTCAACCTATTCCCTATCCTTAAGGCTCACTTTAAAACTCTTCTTCTCTGTCAGAACCCTATTTAGCTTCCTCTCCTAAAAATCCCTTCCTTCTGTGTCTGATGTCAAGACACTTCTCCCCCTGGTCAAAAGCTGACGGCCTCTTTCCCTCTCTCAACCGACTCCTCCTCTAATTGCTCTGACCAATCAGGAGTCAGCTTGACTCCTCCTACTGCTTCTGCCTGTCTTTCAAGATGACAGCTACTGATACTCAGGCTTCGGCCTGGTCGCCTAAAGGTAGATTTCACTACACAGTGCAACAGTTTTAGTCCATATCAGGTTTATAGCATACAGCTTAATTTCATGGGGACAGAGATTACATTTCATTGTAGATGGGACCAAAGTTACCTCACTCTTTTTGTCAGTGTCTTTCCCTCTTCCCCCAAGTTAGGCCCTTTCTGCACTGCCATATAATCCAGATAATTAAATCAGATAATCCAGATTATATGCTTTGAGTTGGATTATATGAGTCTACACTGTCATATAATCCGGTTCAAACCAGATAATATGGATTTTAGAAGGGACGAGAGTTAACCTAGAAGCGCCTCACTATCACCCTATTTTTTTTTTTGGGAGGGGGGATGACATTTGTGTGAAAATGGGAAAATGAATTTTTCTTACTTCAAATAAAGTCAACCCTCTACATTCACTGTGAAAACAAAAAATCATGAATAAAGGAATTACTATTTTATTAAACTTGAGATAACACTTCTATTGGAAATTCTAGATCTTCCAGCATGACTGTATGATTGACTTCTAATGGAACCTGATCACAGAATCATACTAGAAGAACTTGAGTTTCTGAAATACATGTTCTTTCCAGCGATGTCTAGATCCTTCAACATGGTTGGAGGAAGTTGGCCATACACTTACACTAGAGGACCTAGAGATTCATAGAGGGCACTTCCAGACACATCTAAAACCCACACAGAAATGGGGTTTTTTTTTGGTCGTGTCAGGAGAGACTTGAGAATCTGCAAGTCACTTCTGGTGTGAGAGAATTGGCTGTCTGAAAGGACGTTGCCCAGGGGACGCCTGGATGATTTTGATGTTTTATCATCCTTGTGGGAGACTTCTCTCATGTCCCCGCATGAGGAGCTGGAGCTGATAGAGGGAGCTCATCTGCCTCTCCCCGGATTCGAACCTGCAACCTGTCGGTCTTCAGTCCTGCCGGCTCAGGGGTTTAACCCACTGTGCCACCAGGGGCTCAACAGAAATGGGTGAAAATAAATCACTTCCATGCGAGTTCTAGTCTCCACCCTGCACCCAAACCCCAGGCTTTCCCTACGGGGGTGGTTACATACTATCCCGATTGAAATGAGGATACCATGAAGCCACCCTGAAGCTCCAAATTTCCCTCCTGAAACTTACTGAAAAGGGTCCCTGGCAGCCATGAAGCCCTCCCTCCAGTGTTCTCCTGAGTGGAGAAAATGATGCCTAAGGAGATAGGAAGAGTGAGAAGGAAAATCCCTCACCCCACCTCTCGTCTCCTTACATGTCATTTCCTCCATTCAGGACAACGCGAGCAGAGGCTTCATGGTTGACAGGGACCTTTTTCGGTAAGTTTTAGGGGAGGAATTTGGGGCTTGGGGGATGGGATGGGTGCCCCACCACTCTTCTGGGCTTTTTGGAGCCCAAAGAAATGAGATGGCTATGGGACTGACCCCAGGATTTTCAGTAAGGCCCGGATTTGTTGAGGTGTTTAATTAATGCAGAAACTGGGGAACCCAGGTTTACTCCATGTTAATCACTTTCACAGAAGGCTTCATTTGGACACCTTTGGTAAAAGCGAGGCAGGTCCCATGTTTTGGTCCTGTCTGGAAGTACCCAGATAGAACATTTTAATCAAATTTGTGAATAATCAAATCTTTAAAAGTAAAAGATGGAAAGTGTGGAGGGACAACTGTACTGTATAATGATTTTAAAATCATTTAAGAACACCAGTGGGGCTCACCCATTCTCACCCTGGGTACAGGCCTAAAGAAGAAAGGCTCAAAAGGGAGTAGCCAGGTCACAGGCTTAAGTTTCCTGATCTCAACTTAAGAGCTGAGAAGATGTGCAAGAACTCTCAGAGAGCTCGAAGGCAGGTTTCGGCTTGAAGGGGGAAGATAATATTTACAGGAGTGACGTGTGAGCAAATGGGAAAGGATTCCACTTCCAGTGTGCCTTTTTGCAAGTAGTCTATATTTAGACCGCTATGTCAAGGATAAATACAGAGTTAAATGCACACACAGTAGTTTTGGCACAGAGGAATGGCTATTCTCGCATGCTTTCGTACAGTGGGAGAACAACACTATGTTTGTTATCTTTTTTATCACGTCTGTTGAAACAGTAGTTGTTCAGACAAGTTATTAATGTGTCATTGTCAGTGGAAAACAAGAGTACAAATGCCAATGTTGGAACTTGTTGCCCTGTTGAGAGGACAATATACAATAGTTAGCTTTAAAATGTTACTCTGGAGTTATCCTTCTTAGGTTTCGGTATTTGAAAATTACTCTGCCACAGTTTTAATGGATTTTTTTTTAAAGTGTTGTTATTAATGCTGTGAGGACAATGATTCCTGTTATTACAGGTTGAATATCTCTTATCCAAGACATTTGGATCCAGAAGTGTTCCTATTTCAGATTGTATGGGATGTTGGAATATTTATATTTTTATAATGTGATATCTTAAGAGAGAGGATCCAAGTCTAAAGATGAAATTCAAATTCATCTGTGTCATATACACAGTTCGAAAATAATTTTATACAAAGCATTTTAAATAATTTTGTTCATGAAACAGTTTGTGTACATTGAACCAACAGGTGAGGTGTCATTACCTCAGCCACATGTATGGACAATTTCAGATTTTGGAGAATTTCGGGTTTTAGAATTCTAGTAAAGGGATGCTCAACCTATACAAATTACTTCTGTTGGAAAAGGCGATGCTTTTGAAAAGAAGCCGAGGGCCATTTGAGATCAGGCCAAAGGCTGCAGGAGATGTTTTGTTATCTTACTCTGGCTCTAGGGTCAAGCTTTTGGAGTGCAATAATAACTATGAAATATATGCAATGATTTTTGGAATGGCCCGGATTACGATTGTGGATGGCGTGATTTTAATAGTGATTGCAATGTTTTATATGTTTTAATGTGCATATAATTTTAATTTTTAAATTTTAACTTAAATGCGTTTTAATTGTTTGTTGTCCAAAGGCATCAAATTGTTGCCATATGTAAAGCCGCCTTGAGTTCCCTTTTGGGTAGAGAAAGGTGGGATACAATACATATTTATTTAAATAAATAAATAAATCTGAGGACAAGATGGAGAAATTCACCACTACCAGATCACACATACAGAAGCAAAAGTGGAATGGTAGTCCAGTGCTGTAGACAGTGGGTGGGAACACTTCTGGGGGAAGCACATTACATGCCACACATTGTCCTTGTCTATGGAGGCCAACCTTAAAAACTGTGGCATAGACACTGAGAAGTGGGAAGCCCTGGCCCTTGAGAGCTCCAGCTGGAGGTCAGCTGTGACCAGCAGTGCTGTAGAATTTGAAGAGGCATGAATGGAGGGTGAAAGAGAGAAACGTGCCAAGAGGAAGGCGCGTCAAGCCAACCCTGAACCGGACCACCTTCCATCTGGAAACCAATGCCCTCACTGCGGGAGAAGATACAGATCAAGAATCGGGCTCCACAGTCATCTATGGACCCACTGCCAGGACACCAATCTTGGAAGACAATTCTACTTGGATAATGAGGAATCGCCTAAGTAAGTAAGTAAGTAAGTAAGCAGCTATGACAGGCATCTTCAAACTCTGGCCCTCCAGCTGTGTGGTCCTCCTTCTCTCAGAATTCCTGACCAATGAACAAGTTGGCTAAGACTTTTGAGAGTTGGAGGCCAAAACAGCTGGAAGGTGACAGTTTGAGGATGTCTGACCTATGGGATTTCATGGTTTGTATTTTTTTTTTGGGAGGGGGAGGGGGAGAGATATTTCCATCAGAGAGTTTGCCTCACCAAACTACAAATGTTAGGACTTCATAGGATAGAACCATTGCAATTAAAGAAGAATTATATGGCAGTAATTGTGCAAGTTGAAAGGGTCCTTGCTGGGAAGTGGAGAAATGGAAGAAAGGGAGGGAAACGTGGATGGAAAAAAGGAAGAAAAACAGGGAAAGTTCTGCTCAATTTTGATTCTTCCTCAATCCATCTCAGTCCAGCTGAATACCTAGCCACCACTGAGATGTGTGTTCCACTCCCAAATTATTTTTGATGACATTCACACTTATTGGGAAGACAAAAAGTTACCTTTTCCCTCCACTGGCATTTTCCTATTAGTAAACATGTTTAGGCATATACAGAACCTGTATTAGTTCAAAAATATGCATTAAAAACTAATAAAAAAAGGACAAGACATGTAAATGGCCGATACGCGCAACTTACTTTTTGAACTTGCTCATTATCCCACTGTCATTTTTCTTGATATCGTGTACTATCTTTTGAAGTTGCCTGTAGGAAAGAAAGTAGTAACATATATAATTAGACGGTCTGTATTTTAATTGAATTATAGTGTATGCTACAGCATGCGTAAGCAGACCCTCCAAGTCTTCTGTTTGTCATTGTTTGTTTGCCACTTCTCATGTTTTGACTTTTTTGTGCTTGGAGACGTGTTTAATTTTCTTGGGGGGTGTTGATAAAACTTGCACCAATGTTATTTGTAGTTGTGTCATTTGAAAGAATCTTCAAGTGCAAAACAAGTCAGTGATCAGATGACAATGATTCAGTCTATGTCCTGAGAAACTACTTAAAAGGCATATTTTCAGTTCTCCTCTTACAGAAATCTTTGGTATGCTCCATTTGACAAGTACTAAAATGAACATGAAACAAGTGTTAGCTGACTAGTGTGTGTCAATAATTTGCAGGGTTATAATAATATAGCACACATTCATTTTTGAAGCTGTGTTTTTGTTGTTCTGTGCCTTCAAGTTGGTTCTGACTTCTGGCAATCCTATTTTTGAGGCAAGACTGGAGTAGGTTTGCCATTGTCTCTTTCTGAGGTTTTCCCAAAGTTTCCATGGCTGATCAGGATTTGAACCCTATTTCTCTCAGGCCCTTTCTACACTGCTATATAAAATCCAGATTATCTGTTTGAACTGGATTATATGCCAGTGTAGACTCATATGATCCAGTTCAAAGCAGATAAAGTGGGTTATCTGATTTGATAAAATGGAGTATATGGCAGTGTAGAAGGAGCCTCAGAAGCCTCATACAACACTCACATTACTAAAACATATACCAGCTTTTTTATGTGCCAGGAGCAGCTTGAGAAACTGCATGTCGCTTCTGGTGTGAGAGAATTGGCTGTCTGCAAGGACGTTTCCCAGAGGATGCCTGGATGTTTTGATGTTTTACCATCCTTGTGGGAAGCTTCTCTCATGTCCCTGCATGGGGAGCCGGAGCTGACAGAGGGAGCTCATCCATGCTCTCCCTGGATTCAAACCTGCGACCTGTCGGTCTTCAATCCTGCCGGCACAAGGGTTTAACCCACTGCACCACTGGGAGCTCCATCTTGCCAGCTCTGACAACCATAGACAGAAATTGGAAATACTCTGCAATGGACTTTAACATTCTATTGATAGGAATTGAGACTACAGATAAGACATCAGAAGAAGATATATCTCAATACGTCTCATTCCTTCATAGTTGCTCTTCCAAGTCCTGGGCCCCTTCTACACTGCCATATAATCCAGATAATCAAAACAGATAATCCACATTCTCTGCTTTGAATGGGATTATATTCAGTCCGACGCCACTCTAATTGCCATAACTCAATGCTATGGAATCCTGGGCATTGTAGTTTGGTGAAATATCAGCACTCTTTGGCAGAAAAGGCTAAGGTAAAGGTTCCCTCTGACATTAAGTTTAATTGTGTTAGACTCTGGGGGGTGGTGCTCATCAATATTTCTAGGCTGAAGAGTCACGTTGTCATAGACACCTCCAAGATCATGTGGCAGCATGACTGTATGGAGGGTTGTTACCTTCCCGCAGAAGCAGTACCTTTTGATCTACTCATATTTGCATGTTAGCTACGCCTAACAGCAGGAGATCACCCCGTTCCCCAGATTCGAACCGCCAATCTTTCGGTCAGCAAGTTCAGCAGCTAAGCGGTTTAACCCACTGCACCGCGAGGCTAAAGACTCCCATTATTCCATACCATTCAGCCATGATAGTTAAAGTGGTGTCAAACTGCATTAATTCTATATTGTATGTATACATCCTTAGTGTATGCATGCCAAGCATACCTTCAAATAAGTTCCAACACTTTGCAGTGATATTCAATAACTGGGTTATCAGAAATCCAAATCCCTGAACAGACTCAGAAGTGGAGTAGATCAAAAGACAACCTGGCAAACTGACACTACCTAAAAGAATCCCACACCTTGTGTGACTGTGGAATAGAACAGACAACTCCGCATCTGTATGCTTGTCCACTATGCCCTGCCTCATGTACAAAGGAAGAATTGTTGGAGGCTACAGACAATGCCGTTGCTGTTGCCCGTTTTTGGACAAAAGATATTTAGCCACTTGTGCTCCTTCTATCTTTATCAGTTTTATACTAATTTATGCAATGCTTTTGATACGAAATAAATAAATAAGAAATCCAAAATCATCCACTGAAATGATACCTCTGCTTTCTAATGGTTCACGGTATATACACTTTGTTCTACACACAAAAGTATTACAAGTAGTCTATTAAATTGAATTGTTTAGACTTTGGTTCCATTTCCAAGACATTTCATTGTGTGTGTTTACACACACACACGTAAAGTATTCTAAACATTGGGGAAAAAATTAAATCCAAAATACTTCTGGTCCCAGGTATTTTGATTAAGAGATGCACAATCTGTATCAATTAAATACAATAAAAAGGAACAACAAATTAAAAAAACCTGAAGCAATTAAGCAGAATATTAAGATTAATTTAATTAAAAATAATTCATATATAAATTAATTTAAAAGAGACAGACTAAAGGAGTAAACAAATCTTACATTTATCAGCTGGTTCTTTACCCAAAGTCTAGTTTTCTTAGAGTTCTGCAAAACTACTTGTTGCTTTCACTGATTCCTCAGAACTAGGAAAGTGAAAGGATTTGAATCTTTTTCACAAGATTCAAATACTTTCCTCAAGCGTAGTTCCAGTGGTATGAACGGTATGAACTCTTTTAATGTTAGCAGTCTTTGGGCCTTTCCATACAGATATATAATATCAATGCAGAAAATCCTGCAATATCTGCTTTGAACTGGGTTAGCTGAGTCCACACTGCCATATATGTTCAAAGCAGATAATGTGGGATTTTATTCAGTTGTGTGGAAGAGGGCATAGCAACTGATTCTTAATATTTCTATCACATCTTTAAAAACAATGAAGCATGTATATTATATTGAAACATATATATATATAAAAGGCCTGGGCAATGTATGGTTCTAAATGGTTCTAAAGTACTTACAAAATTAAAGTTCTAGTGGTGAAAATTTTGGAACTCTAACAAAACTTTCAAAATTTAATTATTATTTCATTATTGGCGATTTTTATGACAGAACCAATTAGGAACTGCCATTTATAATGAAATGTTGAGAGTTTTGTTAGAGTTTTGAAATTTTCACCACCACAACTTTAGTTTTGTAAGTACTTTAGACCCATTTAGAACCACGCATTGCCCAGGCCTAATCTATCTATCTATCTATCTATCTATCTATCTATCTATCTATCTATCTATCTATCCATCCATCCATCCATCCATCCATCCATCCATTTCTCATTTGGAGGACTTCAGAAAGAGGGAGAATAAGGAACCAAGACTTTAAAGGGAAGGAGAAAGGAAAAACAAGGGAAGGTCTGTGAGGAGGTGGATCAGAAATTAGGTTTTTAAATAATTCATGCAGCTGTTCCTTTTCTATCTATATTCTTGATTTGGCATTGTTTCATTCAGTGCTAAATCAAGAATATAGATAGGAAGTGGCAGGAGTAAAATCATCGGTGGCATTTTCTAATTTGAGTATGGTTTGGTTTTTGGGACAGATGTCTAATTTAAATTTAAGTGATCATTTAACATGTGCTGTATCTGAATTAGATTTTTTGTATATTGATTAACTCACTGCACCAGCCTTTTCTAACTAACTTCCCTGACACAGCACACAATTTTCCACTCTGTGCCACTCAGACAAAAACATTTGGTCAAGAGTTTATCTATAGCCAGTCTATTCTCTGTTCCTGTTAAACCGTAAGGCGATTTGAAAAAAAAAAAAAACAACCTTCGGATGACAACCCAGTCATTGTGAAGGATGACAACTGAAATATCAGCAACAACAAGGAAAGGAAAAGAGACATGCGTTTGGCAGGTCAACCAACTGAGAGAATTGTTTGTAGAAGGATTGCCAACTTTTGAACTAGGCTCTGTAATTCAATCTTTTAACCATTTAATGCATATATGCAAATATTAATAAGTGATAAAGGAAGGGTAGGAAGCCTTTTTTTCAACCCAAGGGCCAAAATTTAATTTCAGATATGTTCCCCAGAGCCGCCTTCCAATGGTGGGCAGGGTCAAAGAAAGACGTCTATAACCAAATATATCAATGTTACTGGCTCTGACTACCAGTAACGAAGTCATGGGAGAGGTATATCAGCCAATTACAATAGGGAAAAACCTGGGCAAATTGCCCAAAAGTTGGGAAACTACCATCATGATCTCACATGGATGAGGTCCCACAGGGCAATTTGTCAGCCTCTGTGTTGAACCAGTGGGCAACAGGTTAATCCCAGTGCCCTGTGCCTGGCCTCACCTGCAGCTATGCTTCCTCATCACATGTGGGAAAGCATCACCGCATGGCTTCCCTTCGCACTGGCCCTGTTCTGAATGGAACACGGGAAGCCTCCCATGTTCTGGGCATAGCGTCATAGGGCCATATCACTCCAGTTCATCCATGGAGCCCCGCCAGAAGTGAGGTTGCATCATACGATGGGCAGTGTTGGGCTCCATGGATGAACTGGGGCAAAAGTGTCCTACAACACTTGCTGAAGACACATATAATGAAGTCATAGGACTGTAGCCTCAGTATTTGTCATGATTTGTTATGCTGGGTAGGGTTGTCAGGATTTACTATTTAACAACATTGATTTGGGCCCCCTGATAATGCAGCGGGTTAAACTGCTGAGCTGCTGAACTTGCTGACCAAAAGGTAGGCAGTTCGAATCCAGGGAGCAGGGTGATCTCCTGCTGTTATGCCCAGCTTCTGCCAACCTGGCAGTTCCAAAACATGCAAATGTGAGTAGATCAATAGGTGCAGCTTCTGCGGGAAGGTAACAGTGCTCCAGGCAGTAATGCTGGCCAGATTATTTTGGAGGTGTCTATGGACAAGGCCGGCTCTTCAGCTTGCTTCCTTCCCCCTCCTCCTCCTCCTCTTCAGAGGGACACCTCGCAGGGACAGGGGAGGGAAGGACCAAGACCAGG